GTTGAGTCTCACATGGCAGATCTGGGCATAAGATCTTTCCACAGGCAACAAATGAACAGCTTTGTTTTAAGCTTGCTCTTCATTTGATGGCGAACTCGTCTTTTCAAGGCTATTTTTGTCCATTCAAAGCAGACAGCAGAAAGAGTGCAGTATCTGTGCCCTGCAGTGTTTGAGCTGCAGGTTTAAGACCGAGATAATACACGAGTTGTTACACATTGCAGGAGTGCCAATGTGGCTGGATACTTCACCAGAGAGAGCACAAGTCATGCCAGGCTTCCAATAAACTTAGAACACCTTGATAATGAATTCACTAATGGATCTCCCAGTCAGAGACATATCGGGGCTGATTCCAAGGTATCACAGCAGTTTTGTAAAGTTCTCAAAATGTTATGCACTTGGGAACAACCCAACTGGCAAAGAAATTGATTGAGGGAATATCAATAGCTGGAGCATTGTATGATTTGTTTCTAGGATCAGCCAGCTGTCCCTGAGTGACCTTTTGAATGATCCTATATGTCCAGGTTGGGATTGATCACTCAGAGAGAGTAAGAGGTCAGAAAAGGGTAAAGTGGAGGGTAACAGCACAGCAAAGCACACCTTGCAACACAGAGGCAATACCTTCGGGCTGGCTGGATAGGAATGGTCACCATTTGAGGAGATAACAACACTGTACCCAGCTTTTGATCTGTAATTCTGTATCTCCCATTCGTTGATGGGCTCCATGCCAGGCCGAGAGTAATAGCTCGAGATGCTTTCATGCTCCTCTGGAATGGTGCCTTGTGAGTGTGCTATGGCATTATGATAGGTGGGGAGTGGAGGAGCAGGTGGTGGAAGGGGTGGAGGTGGGAGCCTGGAGCCTGCCAGGGCTGGAGTTAGATGCCGTGCCGAAGGTGGTGGTGGGGCTGGTAGTCTCCGCAATGGTTGGACAGTTGGTGAGAGTGTCCTGGATGGCTGCGGTGACACTGACAGAGGAGAGGGTGGAGGAGGGGCCATCCTCTTTGGCTGGTCAATCTGGTCTAAGTTGATATCATCTAAGTCCGTGGTGTGCAGCTGGAGGCCACCAGCAAACCTACGCACCGGGGTCTGTTAGTGGAGAAGAGGTCCAACTTAATTGCACAGCAACCATTACAACCAGAAACTCCGCTCCAAACAATTAACTGCGAACTCTAATTCTCCTCATCCCTCGCTTGCCCCAAGCACAGTCCCGACCAATATACAGAGAAGAAACTATTGTTCATCAATGAGCTCCTCAGTGAAAAGAAGGGAATATAGGAGCATGGGGAGGTACATAAGATAGCTATTTAACACTATAGCTATTTAAAGATTAGGATATGCCGGGGTTTATGTAGAATATAAACATCAACACCGACTATTTGGTTCAAATGGCCTGTCTCTCACCTGACTCTCAGTTCACAGATTCCTGACACAGGGACAGTAACAATAACAACTTGGACTTTATACGGTGCCTTTCACATAGTTAGACGTCAAAGAGTGCTCAACAGAGATGGAATGGGAGGCAGAGCAGAGTGGGATAGTGGGTGCAATCAAAAGGGTAAGGGCGTTAGAAGCAGAGAGGGAGGGTGTGAGGCAGAGAGATTCAGGGAATGGGGGCAACATGACTGAAGGTTGCCCGGTAACTTTACACAACTCTCGTTACCTCAGGACTTTCTTTCTCTCCTGAAGATATCTGTTCTAACCGAGTCTGGCACAGCCTCTCCACCCAGTGCTGAACCTTTTCAGATTCCTCCAGGTCCTCTCGCTCCGTCTCCGATACCTGCAGCAGTCCATCAAGCACTCTGAGTAACATTACTGGATGCTTTACAGCTGCATCACTCACCAGATAAAGATACCATTGTGCACTGTACCTTTTACCAACGAATGATTACAGTAAAAAGCGCGCAATAGCAGATCGAATGGAAGTGTTCACTGTGGATGATATCTGTTGCTGTGTAATGGTGCAGGAGCTGTGTAATCTAGCAACAGATTAAGATGCCAATGAAGAAAGAAGGACTCCCCATCGGTAAATAAACCAACCAAAATAACCCTCTGACTTAAGCTGAATAAAATGACTTTAGATGAGCAACTTTACAGTGCGACTGAGAGTTACAATGAGTAAAAAGAACTTGTAGTTTTATAGCTTCTCATCAAGTCGGAACATTTCAGAGATTCATTAGTTAACCACGCTGAAGGGTAGGGGCATTTTTTGCAGGCAAACGCGGCAGCTGCTTGTGCCAGCAATGGGACACAAACAGACACAAGGTGAATGACCATTTAATCTAGTAGATTGTTAGTCAGAGCATTTAAACCCTTCTGTGGAGAAAGTCCCTGCTCTTTACAGATGGGCTGGAATCTTTCTTGTATGCTTCAAGACAAACTGGAAGGGATTTGGCTTTTTGTCTGATCTGAAAGACATGGGCTCTGACAACACAGCATGTCCTGCACCCAGAGTGTCAGCCTTGAATGAAAATAAGTCTCAGGATCAAAAGTACATTGTCCTGTGAGAATGGGCACTTACTGTGACAGAGAATCTCTCAAATCTTGTCTAAATCAGATAGCTATTAGACGCTATAGCTATTTAAACCAATTGACCAAGTCTGATCTGTATTTCAGTGGTTCACCCCAGCTTTACTTCAGGTCTTGTGTGACGTTTAGGCCTTAAAGCATAAAACCACTTGTCTTTTGCAAACATCTCACTTTCAACCCATTATCTCGTTTGGTAGACTCTTGGCTATCAAAGATGGACAAGAACTCAACAGAGCAATGGGACTTGACTATTAGACTGTACACGCTACCATCTACTGTCCCAGAGCAAGCAATCAAACAGCTTTTCTAGCCATTATGTTATGCCACAAAAACAAAGATATCCTTAAAAATATCAGTAACTACACAGGGTGTCCCAACGTCCCATCCCAAATAAGCAAAGGAATATTTCGTGATTACCCAATATTCCCAGGGTATAAGAGCTAGACCTTGTCTGAAGCTGAATTAGAATTGGGAGGGTAGAGTGTGAGATATGTTGAGTTCTGCCCCTGCTGTCAATGTACCTCCTGAACAAGACGATTGATTTTCAGCTGCTTTTCCTTCTCCAGCATCTCCTCTTTCTCCTTTGCGAGCTTCTGCTCAAACTCCAGCTCTTTCTTGTTCTTCCTCTGGTCGAACAATGTCTCCTTCTTGGATTTTTTCCTCTCTTTCCCTTTCTAGTGGGGTTTAACGGTTGAAACGGGTTTTCGTGGGGGTGGCCACAGCCTGAGCTTTAAGTTCTCCTCAAACTAAACCGTCCCAGGCAATGGAAAATAACAGAAACTCCACCAAAACAGCGCTCATTCCTCAAGCCATGCACAGACCTCAGTCCAATCCATGCCAACAAAACAGTAGGAATAAAAGCACTTGCATTTTAGAGCATCTTTTCACATTAAAACAGCTCAAAGCATTCGCATCAAATGTAGTGACTGTTTTTTTCCAGGCAAGCACGGCAGCATTTTGCACACAACTAGGCCCCACAAATGAATTGAATGACCAGCTATTAGCCAAAACAAGCTCCCTTCTCTTTTACAACAGTGTCCTGGGATCTTTATCACCCACAGTAAGCAGGCAGTCCTCAGTCTTACAATACGATTTACATTTATATAATGCTTTTCACGTCAGGAGGACAATGACATAGAGGCAAATGCAAACCACACAGATAGAAAGAAAAGCAATTCACCACAAAGCTCAAACCCGCTACCTTACGGATGGTGGGGAATTTGCCTTCGTATTGGTAAAACCACCCAAATGCTGGGGATAAAGTGGAGAATCATGTGGTTAGGACAACTCAAGAGCAAGGAAGCCAGTTTAAAGACACACCATACTGGCAAGGAATGGGGTTTGGAGGAAGAGATCTTGTCAATCCTGAAATCACCATCCCTTCTCCAGAGAAGATAGTCCTGGAAATGAAGATTATTCACCACTTGTGCACAACACTGAGCAAACATTTACAAATAACAAAGTTCCCAGTTTCCAGTCTCCTTCCAATATCTGCAACTTACCTGGAGTTGCTTTTCTATGTAAATGCGTAGGATTTTGTCTTTTTCTACTTAGTTTCTAATGAAACTTGAGTAAGCCTGAGTTCAACTCACTATCACACCTTATCACATTGATGAGTTCATGCTGTCGATCCTTTCCACCCCATCCTTCGGATGAGATTGTAATCCGAGATCCCGTCTGCTGTTAAAGTGTATGTTAAAGATCCCATGGCTCTATTGGAAGGAAGTTTCTCCTGGGGTCCTGGCCAACAATCCCCTAAATAAAATTGGTTATTCACTTCATGGCTGTTTGTGGGACATTGCTGTGTGGAAATTGGCTACTGTGTTCACCCACAAAATACACAGCCACTCCTAAATCCCGTGAAGTGCTTTCAAACGTCATTCCAACATGATAAGAACTATATCAAATGCAAGGATTATTATTATAAAACTGCAAATTAAAAATAATTCTGTATTTGACACAGCACCTTTCACTCCTGGAGGACGTCACAAAGCACTTCACAGGATTAACTGTAAAGTGTAGTGACTGTGTACTTTTTCAGTAAAGGTGGGAGCCCAATTTATGCACAGCATTGTCCCACAAACAGCCCTGAAGTGAGTGACCTATGTAACAGGAAGACTGTTGGCCAAGATACCAGGAGAAGCTCTTTTTGAACAGTGTCATGGGGTGTTTTAACTTCCTCTTGGACAGGTAGACAGGACCTTGGTTTAATGTCGCAACTTAAATCTTCTTGTGGTTATTTTGTATTTTTGCCCGGAGGTAAAAGTAGAGCTAGAAATATTGTAAATGTTTGGTGACCTTAAGTGACCTTGTGGCTTTGAGTATCTTAGCTTCTCTTTGTGTTTCACAGGCAGTCTTGTTTTTGATTGACAGATGGCGAGCACACACAGTCACACACACAGCCACACGCATAAGCACACACACAAGCACACACATGTGCGCCTTTGAGCTCTAATACAGGACACCGGCTGTCAAACCTGCTGCTCCTCCTGCTCCGTGCCAGGTCCAATCCCCTGCTGGGTGTCAGCTTTCGCTTTGTGTTCTGGGAAAGAACGTGTACATGTTAGCACAAGCTGTTGTTTCTTTTGTTCAGTGGGTGTCGGACACGTGTGGAAACCCTTCACTTACGCTGATTAAGCAGAAAGCGTCTCAAAAGAACAGAGTTATGTATCACCCTCAGCAGCCGAATACTTAATCTTCACTCGAAGGAACAAAGGGGTTAAAGGCGAGGCTCCTGCAGTCGTTCTTTCAAAGTCACCAGTCATTCTCCTCTTTCACATCCATTATTTTGTGTTCCCATCATCACTCAATACTTCTTTGTAAGGCTATTAATCTAAAGAAAAGGTGTGCTTTAGGGGCTCAGCAAATTTACTCAGTGATGAGGTGAACTGTACATGGGTTGGAATGTCCTTAGTTCAATTCCTGATCTGTGCTGAGTTTGTGTTGTTACAGAACTCCACAACAGAAGTGAATGGGGCTGAGACAGGGTTTCCGTTGGCTGATGTGCACAAGGGTCCCCGTTCGCGCGATTCAGATTCCTCATTAAGGAAATGCCAGTAAGACATAGAACAATCTTTGCAATGCACACAGCACATACAACATTGAAAGCACTGTAGAGTAATTACTGGCAAACGCCATCTGAGCACAGCAACATCCAACAAACAGCCAGTAAACGAATGACTGATTTTATCTGGGGGATTGTTCACCAAGACACCGGGAGAAATTCCCTTCTCTTTTCAAATAGTGACTTGGAATCCTCCTGAACAAGCATATAGGACCTCGGTTCAACATCTCATTCAAAGGACTGCACCTCCAACAATGCGGCACTCTCTGGAGTGTTAGCCTAGGCTGTGAACTCAAAGCCCCCAACATGGAGCTTGAAACCCACAACCTTCTGACTGAGAGGTGAGAGCGCTGCTGACTGAGCCAGGTGACACATGAATGAGACCTTCTTTATCTGCAGGCAACTCCAGCTTGGTGTGCGAATAAAATGCTAAAATGTTCCTATAGAACAGCTCGTACAGCTTGGACCAAAAGGAATAGTGTTTCTATAACTAAACAATCAAACAGGACTGAAAGACTTACTTCTATTTTTTGATGGTGGAGGTTGATGAACATCAGCCATAACAGCGAATGAACTCTTGGGCTGGTCTTGCTGCCCCCAATCTTCTTCCCACTCCTTCTTAAATTTCTCCTCCTCCGCTTTAATCCTGCCAAAAATGCACCGAGTTATTCTCAACTGGTAGGAGCAGGGGTTGAAGATGTATTTTAAGTAATTCTGTAATTGTTGAATATAAATCTACCTGAATGCGTGGGAGCTAATCTTTCCTCTCCTGACTATCTATTTTGTAGGCAAATGTGGCAGCTAATTTTGTACACAGCAATGTCCCACAAACAATCATAAAGTGACCAATTTTATCTGGGGGACTTTTTCTTTTTTTTGGGACGTCCTCCTGACGTGAAAGGCGCTTTATAAATGGAATCTTGTTGTTGTTGTTGTTGTTTTGGCCAGAAAAATGGGAGAAACTCCCTTCTCATTTTGAATAGTTCCATGGGATCCTTAGCATCCACCTGAACAGACAAACAGGACCTCGGTTTACAATCTCATCCAAAGATCAGCACCTCTGGCAATGCAGCACACCTCCAGCACTGCATTGGAGTGTTAGCCTAGACTTTTGTCCAAAAAAAATCCCATACAACTGATCACTTAAGAGAATCTATTCAAATCCAATTTTGAATCCTATGTTCCACGTTTCATTTAATGAATGTAAATTGCCTCCTTGCCAACTGCTTCAAAAGCTAAGACATTGACACTTCAAAACAGTTCTGAAGCCAGTCAAGTGAAGGATGCTTTATTCATTTTGCTGCTCAGAAGAGAGGCAGTGCTGACTGGAGCTGCTCTCTCAACTGTACAGTTTTCACTTATTCCTGTCAGGACATTTGTTACTCAGTATGTTACTGATTTAGTTGGTTGTAAAACAGGATTTGGAGTAATTGCTCTGCTTGCTCTTCAATTATCATCTTCAGGAAGAAGGCAGCAATTAATAATATACATCGACAGGGTCAGTATCTGCACTTATAAACCTAGTCACAATGCTGTCACTTGTCTAAAGACAAAGCTGTTTACCTTCTTGCACTGATACCAAGGTAATAATAATCAATTAAAAATCCTTCCATTTGATACATTGGGAAAGACCTTTCAAAGCACTTCAGGAAAACTGTAATATATCATGACTGTGTGTTTTGTAGGCAAATGCATCAACAAATTTGTACATAGCAATGTTTCACAAACAGCCATGAAATTATTGACTGACTGTTTTCTGGGGGATTGTTAGCCAGGACACCGGGAGAAACTACCTTCTCTTTTTCAATAATGCTATGGGATTTTTAATGCCCACCTGAAAAGGCAGACGGAACATCGGTTTAATGATTCATCCGAAGGATGGAACCTCCAATTATCAGGAATGTTTGAATCCATTGCAAATAAAACCTGTTGACATGGGTATCAAACAGAAACCGAACTGGTAAAGCCTGGCTATTGCGTTCTCTGGTGTCCAAGGCTCAAAATCTGCCGGACTCAATCAGCCTCAGAGCTGCACAGTGAAACTGTACATGTGCCGCTGGGCTCTTCAATACATGAGATTCCCATCTCTCAAACTAATCATCACGCTGTAAATCATTATTAAGGAAAAGAACACAACTGATTCTTTGGAGGAAGGTGGGAGACTTACTGTTCCATTTCCTGGTGAAATCTCTCTTGTTCTTCATTCGTCTTTTGTGAAATCTCTAACTTCCTCCTGAACACAAAAACAAAACAGTGGTTTAATAATAGTTCCATTCCCTTTCTCTCTGTCTCTCCATCTGGCAGTTACTTTTGATTGAGAGTTGGGTTTCCTTCAGTACTCAGCTTCCAAATGTCATTTCCTTAGACTCACCTTGTAGTGAGGACATTTACCTTCAAAATTGTCTCTCTAGGAAAAATTGGTCACTCACTTCATGACTGTTTGCGGGACATTGCTCTGTGCAAATTGGTTGTCACGTTCGCCTACAAATACACACTGACCATACTTTACAGAAATACCTGTAAAACTGAGATGCTTTGGCATTAAAGGCACTATAGCAAAGGCAAAGATCACAAATGCATTCACTACATTTTACAGCAAATCCTGTAATTTGACATATTGTGATAATGTGACAATGTGTGATAAGGAGCTATATCAATCATTGTTATTTATTAAACTCATGGTTCTATTTAGTTTTGTCGTCTTATTTCCCTAGGACATAATCTGAATTCAACTGAGAGGTTGGGCGAGATCCTTTCAGCCTTTTAACAAGTGGGCCACTAAGGAGATATTCCTGCTTAGAGAGAGGTACATCCCAAAGGCTGAACAGAGTGCTTTAACCCTTTCTGTTTAAGGTGTTCTTATGCTCTCAATTTCAACAGCCACTCATGGCAAAGCATTCTACATTCTCATAAGTCTCTTCAGCCATTTTAACCACCCTTTAAATTTGCTATAATAAACCTGAACTTGTACTCTCATTACTAATTGATCACAATGGGAACAATACTTCATCATTTATTCTCCAAAACCATTCACAAGTCCTTATGAACTCAACAGCATCAGCATTACACTTCAACAAGACTATTGTAGGAATTTCATGTTACGCTAAAGGTAATTTACTAAAAGCTTGCGAAAAAAGCAGAGGTTTAATAATGTTCGCATCAGTGTAATAATCCTTGCCTTTGATACAGAGTCTATAACGTCACCTCAATTCGGAATTATGTTCAAGTGTAGTGACTGTATTTTGTAAACGAATGCAAGAGTCAATTTGTACACAGCAATTTCCGACAAACAGCCGTGAAGTGAATGATCAAATTTATCTGGAGATTGAAAGTAAGGAGAGAAACAGTTCTATTTTCAAATAGTGCCATAGGATCTTTAACATCTGCCTGAATAGGTAGACAGGGCATCATATCAATGCTCATTCAAAGGACAGCAACTCTAACAGTGGAGTGCACCTCAACTTCTGCATTGCAATGTGTCCTACAATTTCTCTGTTCAAGACTGAAGCGCCTTAGCTTGTCTAATCGTTGCTCATAGCTCATCCCTGTAACACTAGGGTCATCCTCATTGCTCTGCACTGCCTTGAGGGCCTGGGTTAGCCCCCTCCCCACCCCCCCTATATCTTGGTGTCAGGCTTGCAAACAGTGCCTCTCTGCCCTCACAGTAGACCAATGGCTCAGGTGGCAGCTCTCATGCAGAGTGACCTCAAGCCAGTGTTTCACCATGAAGTTTCAATGAATAGGGTAAATTTATTTTGAACCCTTAAAAGCTAATTGTATAATTGAGACATAATAATAATAACATCTACAGTATCAAGTTTAAAGGCGACAACTTACATTCGCTCCTTCTCCTGTTGTTCTTTCAATATCTTGTTGGTCTCCATCGCTAACTTTTTCTGATGCATGAGTTCCTGTCTTTCCTGCTCCTGACGGTACCGCTCAGCACGACGCTCGTCTTCTGTCTGGAACAACTCTTTCCCCTGAAAGGAGCAGCGCAAACTGAGCCACGAAGGTACCGGCAACACACAAACCATTACATTTCCGTCTGCCCGTTCAATGGACATTAAAGATCTCGGGGCATGATCCAAAAAGAGAAGGGAGTTTCTCTCACCTTATTGTCCATATTGTCCAATACTCCATATTGTCCTGGCCAACAATCCCCCCAGATAAAATTGTTCATTCATTCCATGGCTCTTTATGGGATCCATACTACATGCAAATTGGCTGCCTGTTCAGCTACAAATGCACAGTCTGCTACACTTTACAGTAAATCTTGTGAAGCACATTGAGATGCCTCGATGATGTGATGAGGTCAAATGCAAGAATTATTACATTCTAATTTATACAATCGTTATGTATGATATGATTCCTCATCAAACCGAAACGTTGGGAGTGTCAACCTAGACTATATGAGTTCCAAGTCCCGACATGGGGCTGGAACCCATAACCTTCTTACTAGGAAGCAAGAGTGCTCCCAATTGAGCCAGGCTGACACACATGGCCACAACTGTGAACTGATTTCTATGGTTCTACACCAGTGCTTCATTTCCTCAAGTGTAACCAAATGTACTTCCGATCATTCAGGATGAAAGTACAGTATAACTCTATGAAATATATAATGAATGATAAAAGGGAGACATAACAGTAATATCAATCTGTAGCTCACTAATTATTCTTTTGCAGGAATAGTGTTAAAATGAATAAATCTCCCTTATTATAATGAGCTGTGAAACTCAGCAAAGATAAATCACGGTTTTATGCGACCTTTAAACGACAAGAATTTGAATTTACATTTTCACTGCTCATCCTCTATCCACTTCTCTGTAGATGGAATGGTAGACAATTTCAGTACAGAAAGAAACCACCAGGAGAGGGCACCATTGCTAACCTACATAAGACTTTCAGTTATTAATCCAACTTTCCAGCTCTCCCCACGTCCCATAACTTGCTTTTTTGTAAAAAAAAACTGCTCACGTGTTGACCTCTTCCTTTCTAAATGATAAAAATCCCACGGAACACTGCCAGACGTCTAAATATAAATACCTCAAAAAGGTTAAGCGACTGAGGACTATTTTTAAAAATAATGTGTCGTGACTTTAGCTCTTCAGTAAAATTATAGGATCCCAATAGTAAAGAATTGCTTCTTTCTCCTTGTTCACACAAGTGGAACCAAGGGCCGATTTGCTTGCCTGCTCACTTTAGAAAATAACTGAACTTGCATTCCGCAAGTCAGTGATTGATCACTTTCAATTATACATTCAACTCCTTGTCTCAGGGACAGCACAGGACCTGTGATAGAAGTTAGTGTTATTTGGTGTGATAGAAACACACTAACTTTGGAGGTGTTCTGAATCAACTCAATGATGCTGTTGAGCTTGTTTCTATCAAGAGCTAGTCACTGGGGGCTGGATGCTTCCCACTCGGCTCCTGCTAACCCTGCAGGCCCAAGCTCTAATTAGATCCGTAGTCTTAGCTGGCCAAGTAGCTTGCCTGGGTTTGCAAGCTGGGTTGTGTTTTAGCTGGTTAAACTCTAAACTGTCCCTTCAATGTTCTTGAATTAGGTAAGCAGGATACATCCCCAGGGGTGGGGAGAAGGAGGAGGAGAGCGACACTCCATATTAGACTCAGGGAAATTTCCACAGATAAGTAGAACTCTCAGTATGTTGGTTTGAGATTCTTAAGCAAAGTGATGGGTTTCCACATGTCAGACAATAAGACACAGACAAAACACAGTCATATTGGTACTTAATTGTTATAGACCACAGTGAAATATTTCACCCTGAAAACATTTACTAATTAGATATTAATATGTGGCGTTGTTCTCTTCACGTCACAATCTTCACCCCCAATCCCTTGTTTTCTACGAGCAAAATACTTACAGCGCCAGTGAGCACAATAATCGTCAGAGTCCGGCTGCTCTTCAGCACTCGGACAGCCTGTTTGGGAGGAAAAAGTTACAGGAGACTTTTAAAACTAGTTCTATTAGAAAGCCCAAGGATGGTAGATAATGATCCGTTGCCTTGTTTGGTGTGACATCTTGTGTAATATGGATGGAGTGATGAGGTAAAATGCATCTCTGACAGCTTGTTTCAGCTCCTCCGTAGTCTAATAATAGCTATTTTGTAACAGGGGTAAGAGGACTTTATGGACACCCTGCACACTCTGCAGAATTGCGCAACAGTCAGTTGAGCCTGGCCATTGCAAGGCATAAAAGCCCTGAAATTCTATCTACTCTTAGCGTGTGAGGTCACTTCTGTCATTAAAATTTAAGATTGTGCAGAACTGTGGATAATTCTTAAATCCAATTCTTAATTTGGAACCCAATCCCCTGTTCTTCAAAAGAAATCCACTTCCAAAATCAGACTGAATGGAAGAATGTTCAACAAATTGAATGGTAAGACAGAACAGGCTGAGACAGATGGAATTTTGGGTTTCCTATGGGTCCCTGTAAAAGTCATTGCTTTGGAAAGATGAGTTATAATATGCTGTGCTGTAATATTCTATGATAGCTAGAATCATTTATCAGCACACAAAGTGAGACTGCTCGTACCTCCTTGTGATCCATATTTCCAAAATCCATTCCATTCACTTCTACAATTTGATCTCCAATCTGCAGATAAAACAGAATCATAAACAAAAGGAACTCAGTAATCTACAGCCAAAAAAATACAAAACCATCCTCAGAACGTATTCTATTTTTAATTAAATGATGTGCAGGATGAGCCTAGCCAGGTATACATTCATCACTCCACCCACTAACCCTCAGTCCATACGTTCCCATGAAAAAGTCTAGGTGTACACTATTATTATTCATAACCTTTGCGAGTAACCTTTGTTACATCCTTAAAAAAAATAATTTCAGGTGTTTAGCCAATGCTGTTTTGATTCTATGATTCTATTGATCCAGCCTCAATAGCCACTTTTGGCAATGAACCACTTGCCTGTGTTAGCCCCGCTCTCTTGCTGGCTCCACTTCCCTGCCTATCCTGCTCCTCTGCCCATCCCGCTCTTCTACTAGCGCCCCCCTCTCTATTTGGCTCGCTCACCTCCAAGCCGACCTCTGCAGACAAAGACCCTGGTTTGACGTTGCTTATGAAGATGCCTGGTTTCTGGATGGGGCCACTGGAGATGCTGTAACAGAAAGACAGGAGAGCACAGTGTGAGCCACACAAGGCCATAGGTTGCCTCTATAAACATGGACCCCCACATGAGCCAGAAGATGGGAGACTCACCTGCAGCCCATGCCCTTGGTACCAATCAAACTGACAAAGACCTTCTTCTCCTTGATTTCCCTGCCTCCTAAAGAGGTCAGTCCGGCTACACTGCTTTTCCCGTCCTGTAGAAAAATGAGAAGGATCATCAAAACATGAGAACCATATATACAGTCAATTCACTTTACAGTCTATTCTGTGAAGCACTTTGAGATGTCTAGAAGATGTAAAAAGCGATATATCAAATGCAAGGATTATTATTATTATTAACTCAGAAAAATTGTAACTTTGACACTGACTGTCTGTGGTCACATATACATAATGGCTTCTTCCTTTATATATTTTGTGAAATCATATATCCTCTCCTTTGCTATTTATCTTTACACTAAATCACATGAAACACTTTGATATTTCCTCTTGACGTATATCAATGCAAAGATCATTATAGGATTATTATTATTATTTTAAATTGATGCCTTGTAGTCACTGACTCATCAAAACAGTTTCTCCCTGTCAACTATCAAAACCTCCCATTATTTTGACGACCTCTATCTTCCCGTAACTTTCTCTGTTTCAGTGAAAATAGAACCAGTTCCTTGAGTCTCTGTTCATTAATTTATAATGAAGGTCACAGTTCAGTGGAGTAAATATCTTGTTTAATAATGAATAATTACTCTCCAGAAAAGGGGTTCTCACTCTGGAAACTGTGCTGTCACCATTGTATCTTTGACAACATCTCTTATGCAGTGATTATAATCCTTACATTTGGCCTTCATGTCAGGAGGACGTCTCAAAGAACTTCACAGGACTTACTGGAAGTGTAGTGACTGTTTATTGTAAGTCTATTTTATAGGCAAACACAGCAGCCAATTTGCACACACCAATGATGGACAAATAAATATGAAGTGATTGATCAATTTTATCTGGAGTTTATTGGATATTCGGAGAAATTCTCTTTTCAAATAGTGCCATGGGATCTTTGACCTCCACCTGATCAGGCAGACGGGACCAAGTTTAACATCTTACCAAAGGACCGCACCTCCTACAATACAGCACCCACCTAGCATTGCATTGGAGTGTTCGCATCGACTGTGAGTTCAAAGTCCCGATGTGGGGCTTGAACCCACAACCTTTTAACTCTGAGGCGAAAGCGCTACTAACTGAGCCAGGCTGACAGCCAGGATGGAGTATCCTTCTCTTCCCCATTGAAAGTGCCACTGGCACCACTCACTCCTGATGACTCAGCCATGTTTCTGCTACTTCAACACATCAAATTCAAAGCTACTTTGAACAGACAAATTTCAAAGCAAAAAGAGATTTTGCAGCTCCCGGCATTTCCAATAATTATGAACAGCCACTGCGCCAAAGTGGGAAAGGGAAGAAAAAAAATCAATAAATGAACAGGAAGAATGTAAGAATAGATCCACAAATGAATGAAAAAGGGGCTGAATAAAAGGTAACAAAAATATAGGTCTTACCCCACTATCTGAAACAAACTGGTCCACAAATTGCCATTTCAGAGATTCTTCAGGAGAACTAAAGAGAGACCATAATTGAAAGTTTGATTTCACATCCAATTCCGCCAACCTTTCTTCCCCAACCCCCCACTGCCGATGAAAGGGCAGGACATTGGGATTAAAATATCTGACAAGACCTAATAAATTGGGAATAAATTGGTGGAACAAATGGAAAAATGGGGCAAAGATTACGGCATTTCAGAACTCATTCCTCGTATTAATTAGAAACATTGGAAAACAGGAACAGGAGGAGGCCATTCAGCCCCTCAAAGCTGTTCCACCAATTTATTAGGTTTTAGAGGATCTTTTAATCCCAATGTCCTGTCATCATCCCTCTTAATACCCCAATATTAAACACTTTACTCCGATACGTCCCATGTCTATCCCTTCAAATCTATTATTGTTACTGTCCAGGCTCAGCTGAATATTCCTTGGGTAGGTTTACATTGTTAGTGCTGGGATCTCTGACTATAAAGTGACTGTATAATTTGATTCATTTGAATGCTTCCCGGGCTATAAATTAGTCAAGCAACAACAGTCTCTTACCTTTTGACAGGAATCATTCCAACATCTGTAAAAGAGAGTACGGTTAATGCTTCTTAAACAGTCACCAGTGTCAAGCACTCTAAATGATACATAACAGAAATATCCAGCACAGAAGGGAGATATGTGGGTCTTTTGCACTGCTATCTGAGATGTCCACTCTTGTTGATCTTACTTTCCATCACTTTTACCTTCTCCTCTAATGGTTTATTTTTTATTTCTCAGGCTGGCTTGTCAATCAGACACAATAAACTGGCGTACTATGGACCCACCTGGCTCAGGAACTGGATTCCAAGACCATCACAGAGGGTTGACTTGATTCCGACATTCCTTTGCCAAGCACACCCTGCTGAAGACAACACTCCAGCACAAAGTCCTCATGACTTCAACTGAAAACCTATCTTATTTTTTAACCCATAATTTGAATCTGTTCCTTATTATCAACACTTCCATCAGATTTTGCAAACACAGATACAGGGTTCTCAGACACACAGAACAGAGTCTCTCCTCCGCAGTGAATCATTGGGACAATGAACGCCACACTTTGGCACTTACGTCTGACTTTCAGAGAGACGGTCTTCTTAGTGCGGATAAGGTTAATCACCTCCTCGTGGGTACAGGACAGGATTGAATAGCCATTAATTCGGACAATCTCATCCCCAACCTGAAAACGCATTGAAAATGGATTTTCATTTAGCACAAAGTCAGAATGCAATCAATAATTATTCCTTACATTTAGATTAGCGGCGTTCACATCGAATTCACATCCATGATCGACTAGAATGGCAGAACAGGCTCGAGGGGCTGAATGGGAGGATGGCGCAAAGCACTTCTCAGTGGAGTGTCTTTTAGATGAAGTATTAAAATCAAGGTCCTGACTGTCTGTTTGGGTGGCTATTAGAGATCTCACAGTACTACTGAAATGAGAAGGAACTTTTCACAACGTCCTGACCAACACCTCCCCTGCCCACCCACACACATACACAGATTTATTTCATGGGGACGTTGCTGTTTGCAAACTGGCTGCTGCATTCACTTGGAAAACACAGTCGTTACATTTTACAGTAAATCCTGTATCAAATGCAAGGACTGTTATTTACTATGAATTTGTTTTAAGCTAGTTTTGCAGATGCAAGGAAATAAAAGACACTGGATACCAGGCATTAGCTTCTCTGCTTTCAGGCGAGTACCAGAGGCAATCAGCCTGTGACCAAACAGCACTCAATCAGAACCCCACAGGGGGATATTGAGCCCTTCAGGTTGAACATCTGGGGAAGGGTGACATTTGGTGTCAGTAAAAAGAAACCGTAGAAAGACCGATGGTCCAATCCCATTCCGAAGCGCTCCGCTACAGATCCACATTGCAATAAGAACTTTAGCAATGGGTGTCTTTGTTTGCCCTTCCCCGAGTGAATGCCAAGCATATTACAAAGGGCCTCCTTCGCCGTAATTCAATTGAAATCGACGAGTTGTATTCAGTTTGTCCTTTCGAAGCAGCGTGTGTTCATTAACAGGTCACACACGGGGGCGGCATTGTGTTTTAAGAATTACAGAGGAATGAGCAGCTGGTCACGCAGTAGAGGTGGATACTGTTTGCAGTGTGTGATTACAGAGAAAGCCAGTGGGTTGTAACCAGTCAGTAATAACCCATTCCATGTATCTACTCATTTCAAAAAGGTCAGCTTGGTAGTAGTATTTGTTATTTTAGTGCAAAGTTTGACCTCCCTGTGTGTGTGTGTGGTCTGTGTAGTAGCAACAGTATATTAAAGAGAAAATAAAACGCTTTCTTTAAAATCAATACAACTTGCACTTTTCTCCTCAGAGGCTGTTTTGTGAAGCCAGCTGAAGGTTATTGATGCTGAGAATATTCTTTGCACCTCCTCTAGGCGCTCCCACTTCACACACACCATAGGCTGTACAAGTGGAGTGAAGCTAAGATGCAGCTTTAATCCACGTGGTTGAATTCAATTTTAACTTTGGAGCTATTTTTCTGCATGTTTCTTCTGAGAAAACACAGAACAATGACTTCAAAGTTAAGGCTTTGTGTAAGAATTTCCCAAATTCTGGACACTTTCTTTGACCGCAATGTAGACAATTGACTTTCCCTTGCTTCAGGTTTGAAAACATTCTCACTTTGAACTCGAAAACTGTTAGTAATAAAATAATCCTTGCATTTGAAACAGCACCTTTCATGTCAGGAAGACGTCCCAAAGCGCTATGCAAGATTTACTGTAAAGTGTAGTGATTATTTTGTAGGTGAACGCACCAGCCCAATTTGCACACGGAAATGACCTCAAATAGCCATGAAACAAATGGCTAATTTTATTTGGGGAAATTCATGGCCAGGACACAAAGAGAAACTCCCTTCTCTTTTTGGATAGTGCCATGGGATCTAACGTCCACCTGAATATGCAGACGGGACCTTAGTTTAACATCTCATCTGAAGGATGAGATCTCTTGACAATGCAGTGTACCCCCAGCGCTCCATTTGAGTGTAGCTTATGGTTCCAAAGTCAACGTAAGGCTAAGAGTCCTTGACTCAGAGGCGAGGAGTGATGATCAAACTGAGACAGGCTGATGCACTATTTTGCAGTTCCTCTCTTCATAACCTTTTAAGAAACGCATTTGGTTATTCCTTTTTCTCCAGCACAACAAACTATTGTTCCCCTACCCTTGCTTCTTTCTATAGGTACAGTCCGTGGGAGGTCATTATGGAGCCAGAGTAATGTTTTAGTGCCACCTGTTGGCATAATGATGGAAGAACCTTGAATCTGTTATTGGAGCTGGATTGGATCACAATTCACAGCAATTGATGTTTCCGATATACTGTACACTGACGTCAGTTCTGGTGCCTGAGGAGACTTGCAGTGCAATGTGATCACTCAATTTGTGGGAATTGTGAGGAAATGGCTGCCGCGTTTCGCCCACAAAATACATAGTCAATCCACTTTACAGTATATTCTGTGAAGCGCTTTGAGACGTCTCAACAGCGTAATAAGGCACTACATCAAATGCAAGGATTATAATACTGTACCACATTAAAGAAGGGAGGAAATGAGAAATGGCTATTAAAGCGTGTATTCCATGGAATCAGTTTCTGCACGACTTCAATAATGAACTTAAGATTCACAACTTTGCCGTCTCACCGTGGATTCTGGCAACCAAAAACAGGCATCCGTCCTGAGACGGGAGAAATCATCCGAACATTTTCAAAGGTCACCTTCAGCATTTGCATTGGAATTGGTCCTAACCAAATTGAGATGTCACCACAGAAGAGAGGGGAGAGAGGGGGTGATTTCAAGGGACACCTCATTTCAAAAGGTTACAGTGGAAGAAATAGTGTCCTTTCGTCTGCAATATATACAATAAACTCCTGATAACTTGACATTCTGAGGGAAAAGGGTTCAGTGACAAGTTATCAGGAGTGGCAAGTTAGGCATATGTATGAATATATAGATGTGGCTGGGATATTGACAGTATGATGACTTAAGTGGTAGTGACAAGTTAAGCCAGTGTCAAATTAGCAGGAGTTTAATGGAATATTGACAACCCTTGTGTTTCATAACATCTACAACAACAAATTTACATTTATACAGTGCCTTTCACATCGGGAGGATGTCTCAAGGTACTTAACAATCCAGGCTTGGTAAGCAGTGCAGTGATTGGTTTTGTAGGTGACTGTGGCATTCTATGAAAGGCCACACAATCAGCTCCCACCAGAGGCTTGAAACAATGGACCAATTAATCTAACCTTCCTTCTCTCTTCAAACAGTATCGCGGGACCTGTAACGTCCACCTAAACTGGCAGACATGTGAATGTCTAATCTAATGGGATGACCTAAAAATGATGGCCCAATGCGTTTCAATTATTTATATTCGTAAAAAAAATACTAGTTTTAAGGAAATTTCATTCAGCAGATATGCAGGGAAACAAAATTACACGTTTCCTGAATACTGTAACTCACCTGGAGATCCACATTGTCGGCCTGACCTCCTTTCATTATCTGAGAGATATACAGGCCACAGTTAAACTCCAGTCCCCCACGAACACTCAGGCCAAGTCCCTCGGGGGATGTTCGGTCCAAACGTACCTCTTTCAGTTTCCTTTGTTGGGGAACAAAAGTTCATTTCAACTCGTCTATAATGAAAATGATGCTTGCATTTCATTTAGCCTCTTTCATGATGCCTACTAATTCTGAGGCCCTGCACAGAATATAATATGAAATGTAGCGGCTGTATTAGTAAGCAAACAGTCAATTTGCCCACACCAATGTCCCACAAACAGTCATGGAGTAAATGACCAATTTTATCTGGGATATTATTGACCAGAACACCAGGATAAACCCTCTTCTCTTTTCTAACTGTACCGCAGGAGCTTTAATGTTCCCCCGAATAGGGCCGACGGGACCTCATTTTAATGTCTCATCCAAAGGACGGCACCTCCAACATTGCAGCTCACCCCCAACACTGTAGTGGTATGTCAGCTAGACTGTGAATCTCGACATTGAACTTGAACCCACGGCCTTCTGACGCAGAGACGAGAGTGCTACCAAAAGAGCCAGGCTGACACGCAATAATATGGGCTGGGCTAATAGCCCATGGTTCTTAGTTCTGGTTGTCCTCAGAACCTATGAGGTTCATCATTGGTCTACATTGCACGAGTGCTCTATGTGGATTTTGTCAGCCTGTGGTTCTGTTATTTATTTTCCAATGTAAACGCCTTCCCCTTCGGGTGATTGTTGAGGCTTGTTTGTGGTTAGATTTACTGAAGATGTGGTCCTCAATCCTTTGCCAATCCCTCACACTGGACTTATTAACATTGAAGGTACAAGCTCTTGCTCTTATCCCCTTCTCCCCATCCACCTCGATCAGTCACCTTAAAGTCCTCTGTCCTTGAGCCATTTAGTTCCAATTTAAGTTAAAGTAGCATTAAAAGTTGTCTATAATTGTCCAAAGTGCAAAAGCAGTGTGAGGTTCCCTTCCCATACGTCACAATGTTCTACACACAAACTCAATGTGCAGTCCCCCATTTGTCGCTATAACAACAGACATCCAGAACGTCACTGAATCATTTTTTGGTCAGCCAAGTGTCTGATACACACAGAAATCTAACTGCACGCTTAAGAGTCTTGAAACCGAAGAAATGTCCTCTCGACAAGAAAGGTGCTATATCAAATGCAAGGATTATTATTATAATTAATAATCGGGTGTGCAGCACGAGAGATGAATAGAATCATTCTCATGTAACTATTGAAAATGGCACCAAGAACTCAAGGAGTTAAACTGGCTCCACTCAGCCCCCAGCTTGTGACCTGTACACAAACCCATCTTTCACTAATCCCACTGTCAGCTGACGTGTTTAAAGGGGATGCAGCAAGACCCTGTCATAAGGAAGCTCCTTTTATAATCAGAGAATTCCTGAAACCTCAGCCTACTGGCAATCAGTCAGACGCATCATTGGGTGGTCAACTGCCTCTTTGACTGACATTTGTCAGGCGGTAAATAGCACTTTGTTGCAGAAAGGTGGTTCCACTGCATGCATCCCATGCAATGTGTGACATACAGTATTGAGTGAGGATGACAATTGATGCCATTGTTCGGATACTGGCTCTTCCTGAGTTTCGTGCAACCTACTTGTCTCAGTGAAACTGGTTGATTATTTTGTGGGTGAATGTCAGAGCTGCTCAGCTCAATTTGTCCACTGGAGGAATGCAAGTGTACACATGAACTTAATTCTGCTGACCTTTCCACTGACGTGCTGCCTGACATCCTCCTCCCTGCTCCTTCTCACTGTGTTGAAATCAAAACATTTTGCACCATTTCCTGCTTTAACTCTTTCATTCCCAGACCTTCAAGATTGTAACAATGTTGTTACCTTCCTTAGCAGTCTGCATCTCATACAACCTAAAGATTTGTTAATAATAATAAATAGTATTAATAATCTTTGCATTTATTATAGCATTTTGCCCACAAATGTACAGTCAATTCACTTTACAGTATATTCTGTGAAGCGCTTTGAGACGTCTCAAAGACGTGATAAGGCGCTATATCAACTGCAAGGATTACTATTATTATATTATTATTCTCATATCTCAAAGTGCTTCACAGGATTTACTAAAAAGGGGACAGTGATTTTGTAGGTGAGTACAGCAGCTAATTTTTCGCAGAGCAATGTCCCACAACAGCCATGAAGCAAATGATCAACTTTATCTGGCGCATTGTTGTCCAGGACACCAGAAGAAACTGCCTCCTCTTTACGAATAGTGCCATTGGATGTTTAACATCGATCTGAACAGGCTGATAGGACCTCGGTTTAATGTCTCAAAGGATGGCACCTTTAACAATGCAGAAGCCTTCCCCCCCACTGTTGTGCTGAATTGTCAGCCTGGACAATGAGCTCAAAGTCCCAACATAAGGTTTGAACCCACTACCTTCAGGTGAATATGAATTGATCTTGAATGTAAATCGGATGCAACCTCAATTTTCAGGGCTGTACATTTGGGGAGAAGAAACGCATCTTAAATAATGAAGAATCTGATTCCCTATTGGAGCCAGTCCACCCAGCTCCAGGTGTACATGGGTGAGAGACATCAGTGTGAGTCTCTCCATTGTGTCACTGAACACTGCACTGCTTGTGAAATTGGGCTCGGAGCAGGTGGTGGGGAACTCAATCTCCAGCCTGTTCATTATCAAATTAGCAGCGCTGAAGCCACATGAGATTCCATTTCAGAATAGTATTCTCTGTATTTCATACAGCACCTATAACATCAAAGTGTTTTAAGGCAAACACAGCAGCCAGTTTGCACAGCAATGTCCCACAGAAAGCCATGAAATGAATGCCCAAATTTATAACAATAATCCTTGCATTTGGTATAGTGCTTCACAGGATGTACTGTAATGTGGAGTGATTAGATTTTGTGGGCAAACATGGCAGCCAAATTGTGCACAGCAAAGGCCTACCAACAGCCGCAAAGTGAATGACCTATTTTATCTGAGGGATTCTTGTCCAGGACACCAGGAGAAACTCCCTCCTCTTTAACAGTGAAGCACTTTGAGACGTCTTTCTGATGCGAAAGACGCTGTCCCAAGTGCAACGATTATTATTTTTATTATTATTTATTTGTTTTTTTACAGACGGTAATTCCTGGTTTGCAAACATCTCATTGATGCACAAGGACATTTTTTAAAAAAAATATAGGCAAATCTGTCCCTCTTCCAATCTCTCCATCTTACCTGGAGCGTTTTGGAGTGAGTTGATCATACTCCACTTGGTGTTTTAGTGGGATGAGGGGCCGGATGGCTTCAAACAGCGTCAGACGAACTGGCTCATTTATCACCAGCTTCAGGTCTCCGACAAGAACAGGGAGATCCATCGACCTTACAGAGAGAAGCACAAGAAAAAAAGTTTAGCTGCAGAGATTTCCCTTCATTTCAATGTGATGTTAGGGTATGAGGGAGTTAGGTAAGTCCCGATTAGAGGGCTTTGCTACCACGGTCAACAATCCCCCAAATAAAAAACAGCCTTCACTTCATTGCTGCTGGTGGGACAATGCGGGGCACTTAACTGGCTACTGTGTTTCCTGTCAATCCTGTGAAGCGCTTTAGATGCCTCGACGACGTGAAAGACGCGATAATGAAATGCAAGCATTATTATTTATTTCTCTTTCTATTAAGCATTGTGGCTGCGTGCTCACTGTAGCAGCTCACCAACCTTGTGTTGCTAGCCTCTCTCAACCCTCTGACCGCCACTGTTCAGAAGAACAACAGCCATATCAATGGCACACCACCACCATTCATGGCTGTTTGTGTAACATTTCTGTGTGCAAATTGGCTTCTGCATTGACCTACAAGAATACAGGGTCACTGACCTTTACAGTGAATCCTGTGAAGCGCTTTGAGACGCTCTCCTGACGTGAAAGGTGCCATATCAGATGCAAGGATTATTATTATTATTATGATGATAGAAATCAAGTGGTTTCACTGTTTACTTCAAAAGTAAATGCACCTGATAGATTCCACAACGGCTGACAAAACACAGAACAGTGAAGTTCCCGCATTTAGAACTGTGAATTTCAGTAACCCGGCACAGGCATTAAATTATTAACAAATGATGATTCACGACAGACCCAAACACAGGCGGCTTCACTTTATGAATGGCGCAGAGCAATTAGACAAAACCCAGTGAAACTGAATCACAAAAACAGCCAATGGGAAACAAAGCGCTCCTCTTCACTAAGATCACATGGAAACTTTGCCAGCGTCTACATTTCAGCCTCTTTGTACTCCCTTTATTGAAACCATGAAAGGACACAATATCTCCTGCCAAAAAAAAAACATTTCTGTCGCAGCGCAAGAATGCCCATTAGCTGAGTTCAAAATAATGTTTCACAAATGCTTCCATTCTGCCTCATGTTTTGCTGGGTTTGGGTAGTTCATATAATAATTGATTATAGTGCCTTATCGCTTCATTGAAATGTCTCAAAAGGCTTCACTATAAAGTGTAGCGACTCTATTTTGTAGGTGAACGCAGCAGCAACGTTCCACAAACAGCTGTGAAGTGAGTGATCAATTTTATTTGGGGGATTGTCAGCTAGCACACTGGGAGAAACTCCCTTCCCTTTTCAAATAGTGTCACGGGATCTCTAATGTCCACCTGAACTGGCAGACGGTACCTCGGTTTAATATCTCACCTGAAGGACGGCACCTCTAACAATGCAATGCTCCCTCAGCACTTTATTGGAATATCAGCCTGAATTATGAGCTCAAAGTCTCAACGTGGGGCTTGAGCCCACAACCATCCGACTTCAGGGACGCGAATGCTGCTAGTTAAGCCAGGCTGACATTGTTGAAATGTTCAGTAGCGATGTGCAGGGGCACCATTCAATACACCTCCAAGTGGGTCTATTTTATGACTCACTTCAAACTGTGCTTGAGATCCATGTTTTCTAAACGATTAGAAAGCACTTTGCATCAATAGGAATAATAAATGCAATCCTTAAATTTGATATGGCGACTTTCACGTCGGTATACAGTCTCAAAGCACTGCATGGGATTTACTGATACGTGTAGTGACTGTGTATGTTGGAGTCGAACGCGGAGAGCCAATTTGCGCACAGCAATGTAATGAGTGCAGATCCATGCTTGGACTCAGTATTAAGGGGCGATGGTTAAAACCACCATATAACTATCAACACAGACAGTGTTTGGTTAAAATTCCGAACAGCTTTATACATGTTGCCTTTGGCTCATGTTGGCTGTTAACAGGATTTGCAGGGTGAAGTGCTGAACAGAATTATTTAAACTCTTATTCACCTGCACATCAATTGGTTAAGGACTGCAATGAAAATGTGACAGCACAAACCAAACTAATCAAAAAAAAACATTCGAGAAGACGGTCTTCATCTGTGTGACGGCTAGCACTCTTCCAGGACTGACAATAAACTGCTCTGTAAAACGTTCAGACGCTTTTAAACCTCAATTAGTTGCCGAAATGTTGGCAATTGTCTGCACACTGTTCTTAACACAAGTAAAGATTCCCGAACAGTCGATTAAAAAATAACACAGTAGAGAACGCAAGCAAGTGTTAGAGGGGAGGAGGTTTGGCATTTTACTTACTGATGGTACATGCGTAGCACATCATACAAGTAGTCCTTTTCCGCTTCATTATCAATCAACAAGTCAACCTGAGGAGACACAAATATAGCTGGAATTATTTACAGAAACGGTGCCAGTCGCATGAGATTGAACCGATAGTCAATGCACAGCAGCAGCCAAAGGTGTTCTTCTGTATTGTCAGTCAGCCTCTCCTGCTTTGTTCACCTGCTATCCTTATAACATTTAGCTCAGTCCTCTATGCGGAGTCCTGAAACATCTTGCCACTTCATCACAGACACACAGCCGTGTCAGCTTTAAGCTTACATTTGTTCATGAACAGTATGCTGACAACAAACTGCTGGAGGACAGTGATGTACGCAATCCGATTCTCCAGCACAGACAATTAGGGATGGGGTGGGTGGGGAAGGAAAAAGAGCAATGGTCTGAGAAAGCATTTGGTCGATGAGGTTCCATGTACCTTATGATTGCTGAGCTGTTCAATAAATACTTTCAGGAACCTCCTGGGCCATTCATTTATGTAGCACATTCCTTCTGACCTAGAATCAGTGTACAAAACGGTATTCAATAGTCCAGTGCACCTAATATGAGCAGCAGAGGATGAGCAGCAACCTGCTGCTCAAGGGAGCTGGCTGCTAATAGCTACTATCCCACTTGCTGACAAGAAATTCTTCAAAGCTAGTGTCAATTTACAATGCGCTCGCTCTCACCTAATCCTCTTGTACAGGAGGGAATTTTCTTAGTTCCTTCAACAATTGAGGTTTCCTGATTGAATTCCTCAACTTGACGACCAAAAGCACAGTCAAAGAGGTAGGTCTTGACACAAACCTTAAATGCATGAGGAAGTGAATCACAAGGACTCTGAGATGGAGTTCCAGAGAGTGGGGGCCAAAAGGCTGAAAGATCCCCCTGACAAAGGGGAGCAGACAGTGAGGGGGACATGAAGCAAGCCGGTACCCACTGATATTCAGTGTTACAATTATTACAATTTGGATGTGACCATACTGCGAAAATGAGCGTGGCTTTATTTTAATCGCAAAGAGGAGAACTGGATTTCTAAACTGACGGTAACTTTGTCTTCACAGCAATTACTGTTGTGTTGCGATTGTTTATTTAAGCCACCAAATTTTGTAAAGTCTCCCTCTTTGGACCAGTACATTGGGTAAACATTGTCCTCTTGTTTTGAATAACATCAGGGCATCATTATCTGCTCATTGCAACATCTCAGTACCTCAGGCAATACATTGCTTCCCCCAACACCGCACTGGAGCCTCAGCCTAAACTAGGAGCTAATGTTGGATTTGAACCTTAAATGCTGTGATCTAGAGCCTAGAATGAAACCAACTGAACCAGGAAGACGAAGGCTATTTAACATTCAAATGTTACCCATGACACAGCTGCAGTAATAAATCCACAGACCTGAGTAACTATGCCAGTACAACTCCTGTGTACTAACAGTCTGTGAGATGACAAGTAATAGATTGTTCTGTGTCACCATCCGCACCCTTCCTTCCTGCTCCTGCATCACTGATGCAACTGCCTGCACCACCTCTGAATCTTCTGATTTACAACACCCAATTAATGGTATCACCAGCTGTCACGCTCAAACACCCAACAACATATAACCAGAACAGTCATCAACGGGCTGCTCTTGGTCTGGTCAAAACAACAAATTCCTCGTCTCTTGCTATCTCCTACCGTTGCTATCTTGAACTGTATCCTATACTATGCTGCTGCATCCTAATAACTCTTTCAATGGAACTGGTTTGTTCTCCGGATTTAATCCACCTCCAGAGGCAACCAAGGATGTAAAACAAACTTCAAATCATCAGTCAGCTTTGCTCACGGATTTTATCAGGAATTTGTTCCCCATATTTACTAACTGACTGATCATACTGTGTGTGTATAAATCCATTCTAGTACCATCCAGTCCATGTCTGTACCTGATCTCTAACTCCATCCCCATCAGCTAGAAATGCCATTCAGCCTGAGCCTGTGAGAGGATCTCATCTTAAAATTTAAGGTAGCGCAGAATTGTAGATAATCAATTATAATTTTGAAGACAGCTTTCTAAAATCACAGAATAAGAGGACACAGGTTTGGGTTGCAAAGGGCAACTTATTTCTTTACCCAGAGAGTAATTAACATCTGGAACAGGTTGCCAGGATGAGAGGCCAGGACACATTGTACAATTCACTCTTCATTTGGAAGCTGTTCCCTTTTAAGAACTGAAGAAAACTAGCTTCCAAACTGTGCCCAAACTTTACACTTGAGCACAACATGGTCTTAACAAGTTGAGATTAGGTAGAATTTCAGGCCTCTCATCTGTAAGGTATAAATATTGTTCAATGCTTGGGATAGGTCAGGTCTGCAATGCACAGCGTGAGGAATGCATCATATGTTAGATGTACCACATAGTGAAATGCACCTTAATATCCGTCAGCCCGTTGAACAAACCAATCGGAGTGTGGTCTAAAGTTCCTTTGGCGTTACTAAGAATAAGCAGGGATCAAAGATCAATTGCAAAGCAATAAAGCAAAAGGCTGTGACAATAAAGCAGCAGGGAGTAATTCCTTTTATGCCATACTGCTAGTAGGTTAAAGATTAAACAGTGACGAGGAAGAGAGATTCATTGACAATATACCCCGAGCTGAAGGTATTTCCAATGAGCTTTAAAATATATGCATGGTTGAGTGCTCCTCTCCTCAGGTTCCAAGAGCGCTTTATGTTGCATTGACCTGGCTCCACAAGGGGGCATGTGGATTACAGAACGGCCAGTAAAAGGAGAACGGGTTCCTCTGGACATGTGTCGGGTGCCAGCCAAGAACTGGTGAATGTTGAATTCAATACTGCGTTCTTCATCACTGAAAGTCCCTCTTTCACCTTTATCACACAAGCCAAAAGCACTACACTGGAAATGGCTAGTCCCCCTCTTAACATGAGAGGTTTATAAGCATCCTTCAGCCAAACCTAATTTCTGATTAAATTCCTGTGACCTCCACCCATCCCCATCCTCCCCCTGTGCAAGTCACAAGCTGCTGGAAGAATGGAGCAAAGATGGCAATAATCAATGCTTTACAATGCCAAACATCTGCAGCACAAAATAAAGACTCTTGCTTATTTATAATATGATAAGAATAATCCTTGCATTTGAAATAGTGCTGTTGTCAAAGTACTACACATGATTTTACTGTGAAGTGGAGTGACTTGTTATTTTGTGATCGAATTCAGCAAGCACACAGCAATATCTCACAAACAGCCATGAAGTGAGTAACCAATTTTACGCCAGTGACTATCAGCCAGGGCACACGGAGAAACTCCTTGCTTTTTTTTATTTGTGCTATGGGACCTTTAACGTCTGCCTGAACAGGCACAACTGGGACCTTGATTTAACAGCTTACCCGAAGGACAGCACCACCGAGAAGGCAGTCTACCCCGAGCACTGCATTGGAGGGTCAGCCTGGACTGTGAGCTCACAGTCCCGATGTGGAGCTTGAACCTTCTGACCCAGTGACAAAAATGCTACCTATTGAGCCAGGCTGATGCTGTTTATCTCAAAACCTGTCGAAATGCAAGTGTTGTTATTGTTGCAATTGCTTGGAGTTATTACAACCGAAGCAGAGAGATTTATAGACACATTTATGATGATGCCCGAGCACCAGAGTTTCAGGGTGATGCAGCATAGAGGTGTAATTACGTGAGGCTCACACTATATAAAACACAGTTTTAAGCTGCCCTTTGCTATAATTGTGCCTGATTGATGACAGCACTTCAGCTCAATGTGCCACAGCTCACTGACTCATGCCACAAAGTTATTTTCCAATTAGCTATTTGGTTCCAGATCAAATTTCTTTGCTGTTTAGTGATCTGAAGGGCCAAAACTAATTGTGTTACTAGATAGTGATTTAATAGCAGACTTCTTAACATCTTCATTTATCACAGTTTAAAATAATAATACATAATCCTTGTACTTGATGCAGCTCCTATAACATCACAACATCTCACAGCAATTGTAGCAAAATGTAGTGACTGCATTTTGTAGGAGAATATGGCAGTCAAATTGTTCGTAGTTACTGTCCCACAAATAGCCATGTGAAGGATCAATTTATCTGGGTGATTGTTGACCAAGACACAGAGAGAGAAACTCCCTTTTCTTCTTCAAATAGCATCATGGGATTGTTAACGTCCAACTGAATAGGCACAGATAGGATCTCAGCGGACCGTCTCTGCGACCTAGTAAAATGTTACCAACCTGTCTGCTCCCTCCGCTTGGAGGCACTGCACTGGCCTGTTCCATGTCCCTTTTACTGCCCATTCCACCATTGGTGGTCGGGCCTTCAGCCTTTCTGCCCTGATCCTATGGAACTCCATCCCAAAGCCCCTCCACCCCTCCCTTGTCTCATTTAAGGCCCTTATCAAGACTTCCTCTTTTACAGTCTTCAGTCAATCTCCCACCTCCACCACTTTGCCCTCCAAACCCTTTGACTCCAATCCTCAGCTCGAATGCAAACCCTTTACTGGTCCAGTGGGGATTAAAACCACAACCTTCTGACTCAGAGAAGAAAGCATTTCCAACTATTTATCTAAGCTCACATTTGCCACTTTCCCTCTCATATAAAATGAGAGACCTTGTTACTATGTCCCTATCTGGAATGACACAGGTGGGAGCTGCATGTCACTGCCCAGCAAATGTCCCAATAATGGGCTGTGTTTTTATGAAGTCTGACTCATGACTGGATGAGGTTGGAACGAGCATTGATTTGGATGGATAACCTTACAATGCTAACTCATCTCTACTTGATTAGTATTGAGGTCACTTGCACACAATCTGTAATCATGGAACCAAACCAAACTGAGATTTCCATGCAACCTACATTTGGAGATTTCAGAGAGAAATTGTTTGAATGGAATGTGCACTCTTTCCCTGAAGGGATGCAACCTGCTTACCTAATCCTGGAAAATATTAGGCACAGGTTGGCAGGAGCTAAGGCTTGGGGAATCCAGAGTGTGTGTTGGGGTACTGACCTCCAAATGTAATTTTACAGAGCGGAAACATAATATACAGCTCCCACTGTTTATTGCTGCCCACCAATTGTTCCTGGGAAACAGTTAAAACTATGTGTGTGGACATCGCAAACACTCAGCTTGGGGGATGGTGGAAATGGGAGGGTTTATTGTTAAAGAGGGTGGGGGAGATGAGAGTAAGTCAAAGTGTCAAGGTGAGCTTTGATAATAATCCTTGCATTTGATATAGCGCCTAATCACATCGTAGAGACATGTCAAAGTGCTTCACATGATATACTGTAAAGTGGTTTTGATTGTGTGTTCTGTGGATAAAACACAGCAGTCAGTTTACGCACAGTAAAGTTCCATAAACAGCCATGAAGCAAATGACCAATTTTGTTTGTCGGATTGTTGGCCAGGACACCAGAAGAAACTATCTCCCCCCCCCCCCCCCCCGAATAGTGAAGTGGTGGGAGTTCCAGTGATGGTGGGGCAGATAGGGCAGGGGGCATAGGAAAGGTGAGCGAAGGAAGGAGCTGGGTCGGTAGGGTGCGTACAAAGTGTGGATACTGAGAAACATATTGATTTGAACATGAGTTACAGCCTGGTGTTTAAAAGGTCAGAGCAAAGAAAATTGGAACATAACAAATTGCATTTATACAGCACAATTCATGAGTCGCAAAGTGCTTTACAAAGAGGCTGGCTGAGCAACAGAGAAAGGTTGGGGGGAGAGGAGGGTGACCATAGGAGCGATTGAAGAGGTAGATTTTCATGTGAAACCAAACACAATGCTGTTATTGCTTTGTCATCTTCCTTCTCATCTTAGAAAAACGGGACACAATAATATAAAATTCTTCATTGAAAAATACAGACCACTCACACCTCAGTTACAACGGGCACGGTCCATGGCATCAAAATCAATACCTGCTACACAGCACTCTTCCAAGAACTACGCTGACCTCGTCCAGTGCGTATATAGACAGCCTCTTCTTTGGTAATCCCCAACACTGGTAGCGGATGTTATAATGTTGAGGTGGAATGATGTCAGCCGGCAGAGCGTCACTCCTCCCCACATGGGCTGAGAGAGTGGTCTGCACCTGCCATCGAGCACCTTCTGATACTCACTTGCGCCCAACCACGCACCTGTGTCAATGTGCGCACCTGCGCTCGTCCCACGCACCTGCGCTCGTCCCCCGCACCTGCGCTTGTCCCCCACACCTGCGTCAATCTGCGTACCTGTGCCAATCTGCGCACCTGCGCTCGTTACACACCTGCACTCGTTACACACTTGCGCTCGTTACACACTTGCGCTCGTTACACACCTGCACTGGTTACCCACCTGCACTGGTTACCCACCTGCACTCGTCACTCCACACATCTGAGCCCATTTATACTCGCTTAGAATTCTTAAAGCAAGAACCAAAATCATGAATAATTTTTACTATTATTAAAAAGCCGTAGAAAACCCTGACACAAACCCCTGGGAACCTGCACACACAGAGAGTCAGCGAACCCCCCATCCCCCCCACCACACACGCGCAGAGCCAGGGAACCTCCCCCACACACACATACACACACAGAGCCAGCGAACCCCAACACACACACAGAGAGCCAGTGAACCCCAACACATACAGAGAGCCAATGAACCCCAACACACACACACAGAGCCAGTGAACCCCAACACACACACACACAGAGCCAGTGAACCCCAACACACACACACACACAGAGCCAGTGAACCCCAACACACACACACACAGAGCCAGTGGGACATGTACAGTGAGCATCTAAAACAGATGGGTGCTACTGTATAAGGAAAAAAACACGAAAGCGTAGTTATACAGTGCAATAATCTGTAGGTGTGCAGGCTGTAATATACCAAAAAACACATGGAATCCGCTCCAACCATTAGCATAACGAGCATCAAGTCTGTTTCAGAGCATTTTAAAGTTGTCCTGAATCCACAGTTTAGGAAGTTTCCCAGTTTAAAAGGGACCGACCGACCCCTTTGCTTTTTAGATGCAGCTGATGTTTTTACTGCCTTAAGCTGCAAAGCCTGGCCAACTCCAGGCCAAGCGTCTCTGTTTTGGAGTGTAATGTTACCAGGTTTTATCGCAGGAATCCGCTGTCCTGAGTTTGGGTTCTCGCAGTGAGTGCAACACGCAAAAAAGGACACAGGGATCAGTCAGTCCCAGGGGGTGAGGGAGGACAAGTTACCTGCTATCTCATTGAAGGAGGTTCTGCCAGGGTTGGGGTTGAGAGGTGTGTGTGTGTGTGTTTGGAGTGGGGGCTCTGTGCACTTCTATTGCCTATTGTGGAGTCCTGTAGCTCAGTGGTTAGAGCACTCGCTTTGCAAGTGAGAGACCTGAGTTCAATTCTAGGCAGAGGGCGAAACCTTGGGCAAGTTTCCTTACTCCACACACCTAATAATAATCCCTCCAAAACCAAAAACGATAATAAAAAAATGGGTCATTTTCAATCCACGACTGTTTGCGGGGACACCGCTGTGCGCAATTGGCTGCCGCGTTCGCCCCCAAATATACAGTCAATTCACTTCGCAGTGTATTCGGTGAAGCGCTTCGGGACGTCCTCCCGACGTGAAAAGCGCTATATCAAATGCAAAAGATCATTATTATATTACAGACCCGACCACAGACTCTCTGAAGGGTTAACCTGAGTCAGACTTAAGAGAGAGAGGCGCTTTATTCCGAAGGTCCGGGGGCTCTCTGTGGCACACAGGGAAATTCTAACCCAACGCAACGCCCTTCCCCCCCTCTCTGTGACTTGATCCTTCCCTGTGGAAGGACACGCACTTCCCAACCCCACAACGTCGCGCAAAAAAAATGCGCAACGAAAGAAAGCAACTTTCTGACCGTTCAGAGACAGCGGGGGCTCAAGAGCTCAGTGGGGGGGGGGGGTGGATGGAGTCCCTTACCTTGTGCCTGAATTCTCTGGCCACTTTTTTCTCCATCGCCCCAGCTTTGCTCCAGCGTTGTTTGGTGGAGACCTGAGCTGTTGTTTTCTCCTCTGACCCCCCCCCCACCTTCCCCACACCTCCTCCTCTATGTGTGTGTGTGTGTCTGTGTGTGCGCAGCGCACTCAGTGGCCACTTTGGCACAGCGTCTGAGATAAGCCAACACTGGGCAGCTCAGCTCAGCTCACACTCAGCCCTCTGTCCCCACAGCCAGGGGTGGGGTGGGTGGGTGGGTGGGGGGGGGACTCCTTTACCAAGGAAAACCCTCCCAACACTCCGAGAGACAGGTAGACAGAGGCAGAGGAGTGGGGGGAATAGAGAGAGATAGAGGGGTTTGGGGGGATAGAGAGAACTGGGGGATAATAGAGAGAGGGAGGGAGGGAGGGTTGGGTGGAGGGAGCAGAGAAAGAGGGAGGGGAGAAATAGAGGGGTGGGGAGGTGGGGTTGAAGTGCGTTTTGAACTGTGAGAGGGCACCATAACCGCAATGATAAGACAATAATAATCCTTGCATTTGACAGGGCAACTTATCACGGCTTTGAGACGTCTTAAAAAGCGCTTCACAGAACATTGACTTGACTGTATATTTTCTGGGCGCAAACAAGTTTATTTAGCGCTTTTCGTGCAGGACAGTCCCTTGGAGCACCACAAGACGATTAGCAGGATGCAATCAACAGTGAGCGATGTGTCCCTTGCTGCGTCCATTAGGTACGCAAGGGGGCGAGAGCGTGAATTCAGAAAGCAAACAGACCATGTTCAGTATATCTAACAAAATGCTTGTTCCCATGCGGAGTGGGTAACTGATCACAAGCTTTGGTTGTTAAGTACTACAACCTTGCTGAGCTGCCAAACTTGCCCTGTCCGAGGGCACCTTGCCCACTTGTAATTGGCAATGCCACTCCCCACTTGCTAGAGAAGATGTGTGCCTCCCACAGAACACTGGAACCAGCACAAAAATACCCCACAACTAGCATTGGATGAGACGTTAAACCGAGGTCCTGTCTGCCTATTCAGGTGGATATTAAAGATCCCAAGGCATTATACTCCCCCAAATAACAATAACTCCCCTGGCCAACATTCCCCCAAATAAAATAGGTTCATTCACTTCATGGCTGTTTGTTGGACATTGCTGTATGCAAACTGGCTGCTGTGTATCGCCCACAAAATATAGTCAATCCACTTTACAATACATCCTGTGAAGCACTTTGCGATGCCTGGACGACCTGATAAGGCACTATGTCAAATGCAAGGATTATTATTATTATTATTATTATTATTATCAACTCTTTCAATTTTTGTGGACCAGAATTTTAACCGTCTAATTGTTTCATTTATTTTTACACATAATAATCCAGCTATTCTATATTGTGTCATCCCCTTTTATGTAGAATGTGACCTTTTATTATACACATAGATTACGATATTTAACACAATTTTGCGTGTAATATTACTGACTCAAATTTTCTATGGACTCCGTATCGCCATCTAGTGGAAGAGAGATGTGCATCATGGTCAAGACGACATGTCAGGACTTAGCACAGCATAGCAGATCCCAACAACATCCAGTAGAAACAGAAACATACACATTTACCTTGAATATAATACACTAGAAAAAGTGAACTGTTAATATATCTGAGAAAACGAACTGCTTAATTACTATTCACAGAAGATGTTTACATTCACTAGACAGGAGACGACTGTCCAGGAGACTTGTATCTCAGAAGCATAGGATGGATTCTGATCTGGTGCCTGAGTTAAAGGAATAATGTATATCATCAGATCTGCTCCTTCTTCCTTTTGGAGCTTAACATACACAAGCCGTGTATACAGAACAGCGTTATTTACAGACTTCAGGTGAGACATTAAACAGAGATCCTATCTACTGGATGTTAAAGATCTCACGGCACTACTTGAAAAAAGAAATGAATTTTTTTCCTGGAATCCTGGCCATCAGTCCCCCAGATAAAATTGGTCACTCACTTCACTGCTCCTTATGGGACATCACTATTTGTAAACTGGCTGCTGGGTTTGAACTTCAAATAGGAGTCAATACACAGGGAGAAACTCACTTATTTTTTTGAATAATGCCATAGTGCCTCCTCTCATCACAAATTGATGCTGTTTCTTAAATAAGTCTAGCATCCTGGCCTTAGTCATTGTTCCATCCCGTTCCAGTCATTAATATAATAATCCTTGTTTTTGGTGTAGCGTCTTATCATGTCGGAAGGACATCTCAAAGTGCTTCACAGGATTTTACTATGAAAATGGAGTCACTGTGTACCTGTAGGGAAACCTGGCAGCATAATTACACATAGCAACGGCCACAAACAGCCATAAACGAATAGCCAATTTTATTTGGAGGATTGTTGCCCAGAGGCGATAAGGACTTCACTGCAGGATTCATGCAACATCTGAATGTGGGACCTGGCAGCAACCCCCCTGGCGACACCACCACCAAACCGACTCCTTCTCAGCCCCTTCCTTCCCTGCTGTGAGGGCACACCTTCAGAACCAGCACCTCCTGAGTCCCTTTCCCTCAGTGTTTTCTCTGACACAATACAAACACGCTCAACTACGGCAAACAAAGAGATTTATGTGATTAATAGATTATACGATTAATAGATTCATGATTGATAGATCAAGCGCTCCGAGACCCCGTCCAGCTTAAAGGTTACTACGTAAATGCAAGTTGTTGTTGTAATAGATGAAAGAGTGGGTTTAGATCAACCTGTAATGTATTTTTACCCACAAAAATACAGTCAATTCACTTTACAGTATATTCTGTGAAGCACTTTGAGACGGCTCGAAGAAGTGATAAGGTGCAATATCAAATGCAGGGATTATTATTAGTATTATTATTAATTCCCCTTCCAGTTTACAAAGATTATTCAATTTATCCGGTTTATTCAATCGAATAAAGCATTTGCAATGCAGTACTGTACAGGTCACCTGAGAACTTTCACAACGGGAATAATTTAAGTTATTAAAATATTTCACGGTCTAAAAGTGTGCACCGCGGTGTATTAATCATTCGGATGATTTAAATGAAATCATTCGAGGAGAGAACATCCCCACCAAGAGCAACGTGGAACTTCTACCTGGTGAACGGAAGATTCGTTTGCAGCTAAAAAAAAAGAAAATCAAAGTTTGCGAAGCGAAACAAGTCGAGAAGTTGGTGGGGGAAAAAATATCAGATTGTCGATGAAAAGTGTTGCACTGAATTCGTTGCATTTAATGTGCAAACTCAATAACTATGGAAGAAGGAGGAGGAGGAGGAGAGATGATGGAGGAGGGAGGGAGGGAGGGAGGGAGGTGTGTGTGTGAGCAATATAGTTTATCAAATCTTTTAACGAATACTCATCGAAATCTGGATTTATATTGCGGTGTTGGTTTGCACACGAAACGCCGGGGTGGGATTTGCATACGCTTTCGCTCTTAACCCGCAGCTTGTGGTGTTGGTGGTGGTGGGTGGGGGGGGAGGAGGACGCAAAGGAGAGGGGAAGGTGAGCTATCGCTATCGCTGGCGCTAGTTATCGAAACGTCGTAATATCTCGAATCATGCGCAGGTGAAAAAAAAAGAAGAGGGTCGCGATCCCCCCGCTCTCTGGGTGACAGCAGAAGGAAGCACCCATGGGTGTCCCCACTCGTCGCAGAATCGACCTCAATTTCTATTCGATGTGCTGTTGTGCGCTTGTTTCGGCGTCTCAAGGTAAGGCGACTTTCCACGCGAGGCAATGCGCCTTTCGCTAACCTTATCGAATCGAATACGGCGCCTGCGGGAAAAAAGACGTTGCTTCGACGCACTTTATTTCTGGTGGGTGGGGGGGGGGGGGGGGGTGTGGGGGTGAAAGGGGGAAAAAAAAAGTTTATTAAAAATATTTTTGGAGCAGTTCAGGAACTTTAATTCGCGTCTTTGTTAATCCCTCCACTCGAACCCCTCTAATGGTTTCAATCCAATGTTCCGGATTCACAGCAAAAGCAAAAAAACGTTGTTTGGGGTCTCGCAGTCTGTGTTGAATTACGAATGCGAATTTTTTTTTTTTTTTTTTTTTTTTGGGGGGAGTTTTAAAATTTTGCGCGAGTCCGCAAAGTGATGGGACATTCATTCACTCGTTGGAAACGCGACCTCCGATTAACGTGCGGTTTCCCTTTTAGTGTTGGTGGTCTGGAGCTCAGGAGGCGATCACAGTCCGGACAGGTGGGCGAACAACTCTTGTTGCTTTTTTAAAAAAAAAGGGATAAGAATAGGGATTTTTTTCTTTTTCTTTTCTTGGTAGGGTTTGCGGCTTTCTTTCAGGAACCGTCTGAAATGGACCGTAGAAATTCCGGTTGAAATGCCAGGGTTTGGCCGAGGTTCCGTGGAATAACATTTTCGATTTTAATTTTAAGATCTTAATTTAACGCTCATAAGTTTTGCGTTTGATTTGGACGCCTTATCGGCGTCGTCGAGACGTCTGCAAGGTCTTCGCAGGGTGGATGGACTGTATCTTTCGGCGAAACAAGGCAGCCAATTGCGCGCAGCAGTTTTTATATTAAACGGTTACAAAGTGTTTTTTCTGTGAATGTTAAAGTGTACGATTGAGCGGAGGGACCTGCGGTGTTGATCCTTTTGCCGCTAGTTTAGTCATGTAGCGCCATGAGTTACCAACGAAGGTGCTTATTACCTGCACACAACAAACCCACCCTTGTTCTCTCACCAGAACAAATGCCAGTGGAATAAGGCAGAAAGGAGATACAAGCTTCCAGGTAGGAAGGAGCCTCTGTGTAACCGTTAGACCTCTCTGCAAAATGCAATGTGCCGGGCGACGCTGCTCTAGGAAAGTAAGAGCTTAACAAACAAAAGGAGGCTTTGAGATTTAAGCGAGCGCAGCTTCCTTCCACCTGCATCAGGCGATTCACGTTTAAGTTCGCCACTTGATTTTGCAAGTCTTTGCGAGCGGAAGGTGCAAGAATGCGCCCACATAGTTGGGCGATAATCGCCAGCTCTCTGCTTCACATCCTCACTTGGTCCCTTGTTCTCGCTGTGCTCGGCAAATTCGCCTCGGCATCGTGCTCCGCCGTTGTCAAGTGCTCCAGGACACTACCTTGCGTGAGGGGCAGTTGCTTTTGTTGTTGAATTAAAAGGGGGAAATCAAAACAATTGAATACCAACAGCAACAAATCACATTTATATACTGTAGTGCCTTTATGTCGAGATGACGTCCCAAGGTGCTGAAATGCACCATTGTGGTGTCTTTACCCTCTACTGTTATTGCAATCCTTTTGGAATCCTTTACAAAATTCTTTTTAACAGAATAATAATAATAATCCTTGCATTTGATATAGTGCCTTATCACGTCTTCGAGACGTCTCAAAACGTTTCACAGAGTACATTGTCGAGGGAACTGACTGTATATTTTGTGGGCAAACCGAAGCAGCCAGTGTCCCACAAACAGTCAATATATTTAAATATAAATATAAAATTTAAAGAGAGCTCAACAACCGCAGCAGACAAGCTCCTGCTGCCTGACATGGGCGTGCAAATGCACAGCTCACCTTGAGACAGGCTTTTCCCATCATAATGTGGCATTGACTCACATTACAGAGCTCCCAGCAACATTTAATAAACTGAGAGGGATGCAGACCCACGGCTCTGCTGCACTTGTGAGCGCTCGACCCCATCGCCAACCTGTTAGAGGCTGCTTTTGAGCTTCAGGAAATCAGTAACTTGTCAGCAATAAGAAGGAAGAAAATTCCTTATCGAAATGATGGCCGGGCAGTGAGTGAGAGGCTGAGATTTGTGTTGTAAACTGAAGGCATCAGCCTAACAGTAATATAACATCTTATCATGCGTGAAAGATACACCAGATTGTTTTCAAATTGGAGCGACATGAAATCTACATGTGAATCATTCAAATTTTAATTAAATTACATTTCAATTTCATTTGAATTAAATGTAATTAATTCGCTTTTAATTTTAATTCACTAGATGGATTCCCGTTTATGGGTTTATTATTTTTAAAAAAAAAACAAGTATTGTTTTAGCTGTTGTTGATTTAGGAATGTCATGAATATTTGTTTTGTTACTTGAGCTTTCATACTGCCTCAAATCTCTTTTGAAACCTTCTTGACAAAAATATTATTTAGGTCTTTGGAATCACGGCTGTTCCGACCTCCCTCTTTGCAACTTCATCTGTTGTGCGGAGATCAGCACCATCCTTACGAGCATTGCCGAGTAAGTGAGGACCAACACGATTTTCATTGTGCGCCTTAGCACGAGACAAAATGATTGAACTCTAATACAAATACAACAAAGTTCATTAATGATGATGATGATAATAATAATAATCCTTGCATTTGATATAGATCCTTATCATGTCGTCGTGATATCTCAAAGCACTTCACAGAATGTACTGTAAAATGGAGTGACTGTGTATTTTGTGGGCGCTTATTATGTTTCTGTTTATACAGCACCTTTCAGAGCTACGTTATATTCAAACCCATGAAGGTTCAGGCATGACAATTAAATGAAAAATACATTCAGTATGTTCAGAAATGCTCTTAATAATAATATTAAGAGGTTGCATGTATACATCGCCCTTCATGCAGGATAGCATCTCAGAGAGCTTAACAGTGGCAGAACTTGGCATCGAGCCAGGTGAGGTGGGAGGTGACTGTAAGCATGGATGAAGCAAAAGGTCTTTAGGCGTGATCTGAAAATGGGGAAGGAAGGAGCAAGATGGAAGGATTGAGAGGGAGAGAATGTTCCAGAGTTTTGGGGCGTAGTGGTTGAAAGCATGGCCACCGATGGTGGAAAGGAGGGGACGAGGGAAATGCAGGAGACCGGAGCCAAAAACTAGGGAACTACAGTTTAGTCATGTGATGTTAAACAGAATAATTTTCCCTTTGTGTTTGCGGGATGACAGTGTGACTGAGCTTCCCCTGTAATCAGTCACAATCTCAAAGCACCTCCTGTGGGAACCGAATCACCTCTACCCCATAGGAAGTAGCTCAAGGCTCAATGAGCCTGAATATGAAGCACTTGCTGGGAGAATGAAACCTCAGCCAATTTGCGTCAACAGAGTATTCTGCAGTATGCTCACACAACAAATGCAGTGCTATACAGAGCCTGTGGTTTGTGTCTTAAACAAACTTCCTTTTTGCAAAGATCAGCTCAACGATCAATAATATTTTCTTCAGCATGTTGCCATGAATCATGGGGACAAGGGAGGGAAGGGAATAAGGCGTTAGAGACAATAGGAAGTGTACTAGCCCGTTTGGAGTGGGTTCACATCATGCTCCACTGTACTTTTGGTCCGACTTCAGTGAACATAAATCTCTAACATTGTATATTGTCTTCCTGTAACCAGGTGATTGCAACTAGAGCATGTTAAACTCTGCCCACGAGGAAGCTTTAAGCTACCGTTCTCTGCAACACTTTCCCGAAATCTCTTCTTCTCACACCTGCTGTCTCTGTTTTTAAGACTCTTATAATAATCCTTGCATTTGATATACCACCTTATCACATTGTTGAGATGTCTCAAAGTGCGTTGCAGAATGTACTGTAAAGTGAATTGACTTTTTGGGGCAAAATACGGAAGCTAATTGCGCAGAGCAGTGTCTGACAAACAGTCATGGCCTGAGTGACGACAGGTTTTAAATTTTTTTTGAGTCTTCTTAAAAAAACTTAACTCTTTCAGCCTGCCTTTAGTCAACACTATTTTCCACCTATCTCAGATTTCTCCTCTGTCTTCAAACGATTTTATTGTACTGTATAATGATTTTGTATGGCAGACAATTTGCCCACAGCAATGTCCAGCAAATAGCCACGAAGTGAATGATCAGTTTTCATCTATGGGATTGTTGGCCTGGAAACTGGGAGAAATTCCCTTCTCTTTTTCCAATGATGCCATGCCATCCACTCGAACAGGCAGACGGGTCCTTGATTTAACGTCTAATCATGCTGTTCTCTCCAAGAACTTATGCACTATATGATTTCAAAGATTCAACGTGGGGCTTGGACCCACAAAGTAAATCTTAAACAAATGACATTCTTACATTTTGTTATGATTTGTAAGCCTTGATAAGAACTGCAGAAAAGCGAAATATGTAACAATTATCCCCAGTGAAATCCTGGAGTAAATGTGATGTGTTGTTTTATAGAGCTCTGTTCACCTCCGTGTCTCAATGGAGGGGTTTGTGTAAACAGGGGGAAGTGCGACTGCAGAGAATCAGGAGCAAATGGAACGCGGTGTCAAACAGGTAACGATCGCACTAAATGGAAATTGCAATGGTGTTTTTTTAATATAAAAACTAATATAGCTTTATATAGTAACTTTGTAAATATAAGGGGTACTTGACCAAAAATCATTTTTGAAAATGAATTGGTTTCAGAAATATTTAAATCCTTTTCCCACTTAAAACTGAGACCTTTTAATGAATGTTACAACTGTTAAAATGTTACTGAATCAAATAGACATGTTGTGCCCCAGGATATTTTAGCGTTAAGGCAATATATTTAACCAAAAGTATTGTTGAAACCTGTCTCTTTTGACAGTTCATTCTCCAGTATCCACACATTAGAAGAGAGCGGTTCATTTGAGTTTGAAAATGGATGGATATGTATGAAAATGGGAAGTTTTTTTTAGATGAAGTGGAAATGAATGAATGTCAATTGGTTTTATCCATTGGAAATGAATACAAGAGTATCTGAGAAGAGATTTGTCCTTAGAATTCTATACCATAAGTGAGGAGGCATAGGCTTGCTTCATTGGGGTGATGCAGTATGAGAGCGAATGGGAATGGTTTGGGATACAGCTTCACCTGGATCTAGATTAACATGACATTTTAGGGTCCAGAATGTGGCAAATTCTTAAATAATCTTGAAGCTGGTTTTGTGTAGGTTTCTTTTAAGAAGAAAATTAGATTCCAAGTTGAAATTGGCTTGCATTTGATATAATGCCTTGTAGTGTTTTTGAGATGTCTCAAAGCACTTCACAGGATTTACTTGTGCACTTGTAGGTGAACAGGCAGACAGTCAATTTGCATGTGGCAATATCCTCCAAACGTTAGTAAGACATGTTAGTAAGACTTGAATTCACCAATTTGCCAAATTCTAGACACACTGAAATGTTACATCAATAATAGTACATCTAGACCCAGCTGGAATTTAACCTCATCAATCTTTGACTCACTGGGTGTTTAACCAGAGTAACTGTAAATCACAGATAAAATAAATGACTAACTCAAAGAAATGCAACAAAATCTTCATTACTTGGGGGGGTTGAAAAATGGATTTGATACACTTTCTGAAAGATATTTGCAATTTTTCTTTCAGTTCCCAATGTAGGCTACAACCGTGATTTAATCTGTCGGACTTGGGGTCAGTATAACTACGAGACTTTTGATGGTCTTTACTATTACTACCCTGGAAACTGCACCTACACACTTGTAAGGGAATGCCAGCAAAGTGAGCACAGCTTTTTAATACAGGTAAGGGGTAGAGCGAGATGCCTGTGGTGAACTGGCTATTAGTTCTACTACACTAACACCAAGTATTTCCACCCTGATTATATTCAGGAAACTATTTATACGTGAAAGCGATGTACCTGTTTTGGGGTTTTATTTTCAAGGTGTGTTTAGTTTCACTCTCTATTTTGGTTTCTCTGTACCATGCTTGATCGCTGGACAAGAGCCACAAATAGACATCCAATGTCAATCCGTAACTAGTTACTAAGAGGCTTGAGAGAGCCCACCCACCCTCGATTATTTTCTCCATTATGTGCCCACGTCCTGAAGATCGGAAATGTTCCATGAAAATCATAGGCCCAGCCCTGCCTCCAACTCCTCTCAGGCACAACTTGCTTCACCACAGATCGTAAAACTAGTTGGGATGAAGCAGGCTCTTCGGCCCATCTAATCTCAACGCTCCAGAATAACCACCTTACTGTTTTCCCACCACTGCTTTTTAGATGAGTCCATTCTCCTGACCTCAATCAAACCTTACTGGCAACCTGTTTCAGACATTAATTACCCTCTGGGTAAAGGAAACACTGGTGAAAGATAGCTAGGGGTAGTAGACTCATTGCTCGCTGTATCAAAACAATGTGATTGTGTAATAAACAAGAAACAGATGTTTGATTACATTGCCAAATCAGTTGAGTTCAGATCCCCCAAAGTCCCATTCAGGCTATGTAGTGCTCTGCGTGTAGAAAACTGCAATCTTTCTGGCCAACAAGACATAAGGGATAAAGCGTGCCTTTCAGTGGGAGGTGGTCTCAAAGTGTTTCACAGAATTTACTGTAAAGTGAAGTGACTATTTTGGAGGCAAATTGTCTTCAATAAAGTGAACTGTAGGCTAGCAAGGGAGGTGGCACAAGGCAGAGTTTCCAGAACAATCAAGGAGGAGATAGTTAGCTATTTGATGAAGTAATCATATAAGGGGTACATTGTCTGACAAACACACCTCTGTCCACAAAGGGAAATGTTCTCCAGTAAAACATAGCGGTCCCACTCCCTAGTGATTATTCAGAGCAATGACCGTTTGCCTGAACATAAGGCATTTTGTTGTATTCGAATGGTTTCATTATGAAATCAACAGGGTGAGACTCAATTGACTTGCGTCATTTAATCCCTTGGCAATAAAAGAAAAACTTCATTTCCTTTCTCCTGAACCTGACATGCACTTGGGTTTCCAAAAGGTAGTGAAGAGTGACGGATATTTGTGTCTGTTCTCCCTTGCCGTAAAACTGAGCAAAAATTATTTGCAAAACAAGACCCTTGAAGCATGTCTTGTGGCTTTTCTTTCGCAGATACACAATGACCCAGCCTGCAAATCGTCGTCCTATTCTTGCCAACGATCGGTCAGTTTATACTTTCCCTATGAGGGTGAAATTCTTCTGCAAAACTACCAAGTCATCCATGATGGTCAGAGGTGATTACTTCCACTTTGACAACAAATTGTTCTGGTTAATTAGATGTCAGCTTGACTCAGTTTGTAGCATTCTTGCCTCAGAGTCAGAAGGTTTGTGGGATCAAGTCCAATGTTGGGACTTTGATCTCACATCCCAACACTCCAGTGCAGTGCTGTGAGTGCACTGGATTGTCAAGAGCTACTGTCCTTTGGATGAGACGTTAAACAAGGTCACATCTATCTGTTCAGGTGGACGTTAAAGATCCCATGGTTTGAGTTGAAAGGAGAAGCAAGTTTCTGCTGGTCTCCGGGCCAACATCCCATAGATAAAAATGGCCATGATTATTTGTTGTACATTGCTGTCCAAATCGACTGCTGTATTCACCTGTGAATATACAGTCGCTACAATTTAAAGAAATTTTCTGAAGCGCTTTGAGATGTCGGAAAATTATAGGCTCTACATCAAGTCCAAAGTTTATTTTGTTAGTACATATTGTTGCAATTGTAAAGCAGTGTGCATCGTGAGGGGTATGATTCTTACTTTGATCTTAGGTTTGGATGAATTATGTAAAGGGAGATAGAGCTAATGCGGAAGTAAGTGTATTAATAGGAAGGGAGGAAAGGCAGAGATTAAAATATCTACCATGATTGAATAAAAGGGTGGAATAGGGCTGATGGGCTGAAAAGCCAACTCCTATTCCTAAATGTCCTTGATAAGTCTGAAAGTTCTGATCTGACTCCCCCCAGTGTTCAGCTACCTTTCGAAAGAGGAAATGTGAAGTTTGAGAAGATAGCTGGATACATACTAGCCACACAGCACCGGGAATTTTCGCTCGCATGGGACGGCACTTCGGGGGTGTATATAAAGATGACCCCAGAATACGCTGGAAGAACATGTGGGTTGTGTGGTAATTTCAATGGAGATATGCAAGACGACCTGTACACCAGCTATGGTAAGTGCAGGATGCAAAGTCACCACAATAAAAACAGTGAACACAGTTTCTGTATATTGAATTTGATATTGTAGCTTCTCATAGCTTATGGGTATATAGGTGCCAGCCTGGCTCAGTTAGTAGCACTCTTGCTGCTGAGTCAGAGGTTTGTGGGTTTAGGTCCCACATTGAGGACTTTGAACCTGCAGCCTATAATAATAATAATCCTTGCATTTGATATAGCGCTTTTCACGTCAGAAGGACGTCCCAAAGCGCTTCACAGAACACACTGTAAAGTGAATTGACTGTATATTTGTGGGCGAACGCGGCAGCCAATTGCGCACAACAATGTCCCACAAACAGTCATGGATTGAAAATGACCAATTTATTATTGATTTTGGTTTTGGAGGGATTATTATTAGGCGTGTGGAGTAAGGAGGTCCTTCAGGAGAGATGTTAAGCTGAGGTCCTGTCTGTGTCTATTCAGGTGGACATTAAAGATTACATACGACTATTCAAAGAGAGAAGGAAGTTCCTCCCAGTGTCCTGACCAAAATTGGTCATTCACTTCAGGCTGTTTATGGGACATGGCTGTGTGTAAATTGGCGCCTGCATTTGTCTACAAAATAGTCACTACGCTTTATAGAAAATATTATGAAGCTCTTTGAAGTGTTTGCAGTGTCCTGTAGCTTAGTGGTTAGAGTACTCGCCTTGCAAGCAAGATGATCTATGTTCAATTCCCAGGCAAGGTGAAATGTTGGGCAAGTTTCCTCACTCCACACACCTCTGTTTACCTAGCAGTAAGTAGTAACTGTTTTTTAGTTTATTGGCGGATTGCTTTTCTGGGGGTAATAATACCCCAAAACAAAATAAATAATTTGGTCACTCATTCCATGACTGTTAGTGGGATACAGCTCTGTGCAATTGGCTGCGCATTTCACTCTTAAAATATACAGTCAATTCACTTTACAGTATATTCTGTGAAGCGCTTTGAGACATCTCATAGATTATTGTAGGATTATTATTATTTGTTGTCAGACTTTAAGATATAGAATAATGCCCACAAGGACTAATTTTGAACGTCCGTCATCCAACATGACTGAATTCTTTTTCAGGTATATTAACAGACAAAATTGCTATCTTTGGAAACAGCTGGATGGAGAACAGTCCGGGCCAGAAATCTTGTCATATCACCCCCATCAACTATTCACCGCCTTGTTCTGAACAGAACCCCCAAATAATCAAGGTGGGTCAATTTAATTTACAACCCTTTTCGTTTACTGTTGTGTGTGGAGCATTGCCGTGTTAATCTGAAGGTAATTCCAGATATATCAGTGTAAGTTGTTTTCATGTATTTTTGTTTGACAACAAGAGCACTGAATGGTTTTCAACCTTCTGCAGAATCTAAGGAACATCTGTGCAATACTTCTTGGGGATCCATTCACCCGCTGCCATCATTATGTCAGCCCTTATCCATTTGTGGCCAGCTGTTTGAATGACCTCTGCATGTGAGTATGGGGACTTAAGAGACATACTAAACTAGCAAAAATAACTCAGACACTATTTGAGGAGCTGCTGGATTTCATTCCAAGATTCTAATCCCACTCTGAACGGCTCCCAAGTCTGCAGTTGCAATTGACCTTTGGGGCATCAATCTTGTGGCCGGTTGATGAACAACTGCATTTTCATGGGATATATGTCTGTGGCCTGGACTTTGTCTTTTGACAGGACACATGGATTACATTGATTTGGTTTGTGGGAGAGAAGTTGGGAGACAAACATTTGGGTTTTAAGTCTAAAACCAATTCATGACTATCCGGGTGGGGGGCAGGAGGGGTTAAGCAGAGTTTCCTTGGAGCTGAATGCGTAAGGTAGTCCTCGCTGGACAAGCAGCGAGTGGCTTCCCAGTGGTCTCAATAGCCATTTTTATTTGGTTTTAGTTGATTAATTTTAGCACTATCCCAGTGCGCACTCAAGGATCCCCGAAGCCTTGATTTTTGCTAACCTGTTTCCAATAGTCTCTAGAAATAGGCAAGCTGTGTGCACTCCTCCAGGTAGAGAGAGTGAGCAATCCAATTGCAGGTGAGATACATGTGTGGAATTCGTAGTCTGGTTTGGATACTCTTAAGATTGGTTTCTGAATGTGTCAGACACCCGACTAACTCAAAAAAAAGTTCCCTGAAAGACATATGGGTCTTGTTGGAACTACTAAACATTTCAGACATGAGTTGGCGATTACTCCATCGACTTGCTCATCCATTTAATCATCCAAGAAATAATTAAAAGTTAAGTCCTTAAAGAGTTAAAGCTGATTTTAAAATATTAAGGAACACCAAAAAAGTTACATCAACCCAGCAAAATAATAACACAAAACTCTCCTATATAAGAAATCCTTAAATCTAATGTTGATGTGAAAGAAAAAACAGTTCTGATGAAGTGCTCAACCCATATTCCTTGTTCTTGTGCTGACTGAACAATGGTGGGCTCAGATTATCAATTAGACCAAATTGTTGCAGACAAAGGCTGAGATGAATCTCAGGGATGGGGTAATCGTTCTGTAAGGCTCCCTTTCTTTTTTTTCTGTCAGGTTTGGGGCTGATGATGCAACGCTATGTGGAGTGCTGACAGAGTATGCAAGGTCCTGCGCTCAGGCTGATCACCCACTGCATGAATGGAGGAAGCTCTTCAGCCACTGCGGTAAGAGGCAATGGCAAGGCATCAGCACTAGATGCTAACTCACTGTTAAAACGTAGGAAACCTTTTCAGTCAATGGGAAATGCATCAGCAGTTCTCTTTAAGAAGCCACGAGATTGTCTGTTGTGAGAAAGCAAGTGATTTATACTGATGCAGTAAAAATAATCCTTGCATTTGATATAGAGTTTTTCACACTGTGAGAACGTCACAAAGCTCGGCACAGGATTTATTGTAGCGACTGTGGATTGTGGGCAGATGCAAACACGAACACTGGTTAGGGCACAGCAGCCCAGGACACCAGGGGAAACTCCCATTTCTTTTTGAATAACGCCACCGCATCTTTAATGTACACCTGAACAGCCAGATGTGACCTCAGTTTAACATCTCAGTTGAAGGACGGCACTTCCATCAACGTATTACGTTGGAGTGTCAGCCGAGACAGTGAGTTCTAATTCACAACGTGGGCCTCGAACCCACAATTTTCTAACTCCGAGGCAAGAGTGCTGCCAACTGAGTCAGGCTGTCACATTGTAATAGGGTAGACCTAAAAATTAGGATTAAGGTTAAGGGTGGAGAATAGGGACACCATTATTCTGAAAGGGGAGCAGGGTGAAAACGGATTTTAGTGAGAACATCATCAAACACAAGAAGAGAAACAGATAGCAAAGAAGAAGAGAAAATTATTCTGCATTGATGCTGATACTGAGTGCTCAAAATAGTTGTGTTTCTTTCTCCAATCACCTAACCAGCACAAACATTCACAGAGAGTGCTCTAGTACATCACAGCCCCGGAGGAAGATTAGCCAGCCCCTTGACTTGTTTCCATCAGTTAATGGATGTCACCTTTATCACAGACTATTTTCTACTTCTGCTTGTGCAGTGATGACATGTGAAGGTGAATTTGTGTTCCGCGAGTGTATTGACTGCTGTCCTGCATCGTGCGAGCATGAGAAGGTGTGCATCGACAGTGAATTCCAGTGTCTGGATGGATGCTACTGCCCTGAAGGTAGGCTCCCTATTAATAGCTATTAACAATAAGAATTTGCACTTCATACGGCCTCTTTCACCTCAAAGGAATGTCTCGAACTATATCAAACACTGCTATAATAATATAAATCGTTCTTGCAAAGCAAAATGGTTTTGGGGAAGAGAATACCAGGGAGGTGAGTTATAGCGGCATTACATTGTAGAAATGCAATACTTTAACACTTACTTCAAGCTAAGCGTTAGGGTTACAAGAATGAAAAATGACATTGGTCCCTATTAAACCTCTAACATGGAGATTTTGAAGATGAGGGATACTCAGCCCCAGTAGAGATAGAATCAACAGGGATGCTTAAAAGGGAGAGAGTTGTGTTTGAGTTGTATAGATATTGAGGGGGTTGGTGAAAATGGACTTAGAAAGAACCAACAAATTACCCCATTCTCTCTTTTACTTTTTGCAAACTTGATAATGTTCTCAGCCTTTTTTCCAGATCTCCGCTTATTAAGTGTCATCATTTGCTTGGAGAACACAGAGTACTTTGACCTAAATGTACCTGAATTGCTTCTCACAGGTTATATTTATGAAAATGGAAGCTGTGTGAGACCCACTGAGTGCTCTTGCGTGCTCCACGGTCAGCTCTTTGCACCAGGATCAACTGTGCAGGAGGTGTGCAACAGCTGGTAAGTGACTTTTCACCAACATCGGCCTTCAAGGACATGTTTCCCAATTCAGTTAAAGTGCAATAACTGACTTGTATTTACATAGACCCCCTCACGTAGGATAAAATCTCAGAACGCTTTACAAAGACAGGGTCGGATGCCAAGTAGGTCGGCTGCGTGGGGGGCAGGGGGGGAAAGAGGAGGATTATAAGCCAGGCTTTAAAGATAGGTAGAGAGGGCACGAGACAGAGTGGTAGAGAGAAGAGAGGAATATAAAGTGCAACATTCTTTAAATTGCTGAACTACCACATCAGGCATAACACTAAAAACCTAATTAAATCATTTGCAATCAATCCAATTAGGTTTTTTTACTGTATAACATCGTATGAGATTTGGAGAAGCCTAAATAAGAGGCAACTCCAATTATATAGGTCCACACAAGTGTGGGTAGAAAGATATACGTGATGTACTCGTACACATTACACACCTCTTACTACACAATTCCATGTTATTCTAATGTATACAAATTCATAATAATCTTGTACATTTTCAGCTTGTTCAAATGATGCAGATTATTTTGCTGTAAAAACACTAAGTGAAGTAACCATATGTAGCATTACCATCATTATTTCCTAAATATAGACTGGTGAATGTAATTTCACCTGATTTTTATTTTCCTCAAACCCCAGCATTTGCATTGGAGGCACCTGGAATTGCACGGATCATATCTGTCCAGGTAAGTGCTCTTTCTACGTCCTTCCTATACACAGTGCGCCTTCTCTATGGTTCCCTCAACTAAGTGAATGATTAACATTGCCAGATACTGGAAAGAAAGAAAAGGAAAGAATTGGGATTGAACAGTTCGACAGATGAGAGGTTAAACCGAGGCCTGATCTGCCTGTTCAGGTGGATGTTAAAGATTCCACTATGGCATTATTCAACAACAACAACAAATTGCATCTATATAGAGCATTTTATGTTGGGAAGACATCCCAAGGGGGAAAAAAAAGAAGAAAGTTTCTCTCGGTATTATGGCCAGCAATCCCTCAAATAAAATTGGTTACTCACTCCATGGCTGTTTGTAGGATACTGCGGTGCAAATTGTGCTGCTGTATTTGTCCACAAATACACAGTCACTCCATTTCACAGTAGATCCTGTCAAGCGTTTGAGACATCCTACCGACGTGATGAGGCGCTGTACCAAATGCAAGGATTAGTATTATTAAAAATTGCTTGCGGGATTGACTTGTACTTCTCCTTTCTCTTCCTCCCTCCTTCGCTTTCTCTCCACCCAGCGGAATGCTCTGTGACAGGCGACATTCACTTCATGACGTTTGATAAACGGGCATACACCTTCCAGGCCACCTGTCAGTACATCCTAGCCAAGAGCCGCCACTCTGGAAAGTTTGCCATCAGCCTCCAGGACACTCATTGTGGGACAGTAAGAAAGCTACACTTGTCCTTGTGCATTAAGCAACAGAGGGTAAGGGAGGGAGTGATGGGTGGCAGACAGGACAAGGTTAATAAATCAGGACTGAGTGAAGTCAAGACACTAAAATGTGGACTGAGAGTGACGTAAGGGTGACTGGTATGTTCGTAGTATACTATACATGTACCCTTTGATTAAAGCCTTTCAAGCTTATTGTTGCTAAACTGCACCACCTAAAACCATCACGTTTCAGCTGGAGAGAAAGAGAAAGGTTGTAAAGCTTCGAATCCTCTGAGCACAAAGCCAGCAATCGTCTGGTGCCAGCGATCTTCATCGAGACTAGCCTGATTTACGAATCATGTGAAATGGGCAAACACATCTCGGACAGTAAATTGGACACGGAATTGCCTGGGCTGAGCCCTCTTCTGTGGCTCGGGTGACAGGAGCAAGGTCTTTGATAGTGTGGGGGATAAGAGTGGGCGAGGATAAAAGGGAGGTTTGTAAAGTGGCTGGTGAAAGAGGCAGCGGTTGATGTGAAAACACCTGTTGAGTTGGATTGAACCAGAGTTCTCAATGAGATAATTCATCAGAACAGGGAATTATTGTTGGCTTGAATTTCTCCCATTGTGCAGGAAGATCAGAAGGCTCTCTGGGCCAATATTCCTCCCTCGTCCAAACTCACCGCAACAAGACCCGCTTACACTTCACCGTTTAACTCACTGCTCTTTGTAGGCTGCTGCTGAGGCTAATTTTTCCACGCCTCCATAACATTTCGAACAGTCACTACACTGAAGACCAATGAAAATAATAACATTATTGTATTTTTCACAATATCTTGTGAAGCGCTTTGAGACATCATGAATTGACATGATTAAGTGCTGCGTCAAATGCAATGATTATTATTATGTATTATATCATCTCTGAAGCAGATTTTTTTCTTCTCTCCTCAGAATCTGGACGGTGCCTGTATCCGGTCAGTGAGCCTTGTGGTCGATGAGGATCTCAAGCAACAGCTGACCTTGACTCATTCAGGAGAGGTGTACCATGGCAATCAGTACAGGCTCAGCCTGCCTTACAGAGATGGTACGAAACAGTGATGTGTGCCTGCAATACAGTAGCTTCCCATTATAATGTGGTAGTCTGGCTCCTCGAAATCTCAACCATGGTGGGGCTCCATCAGCCATCAGCACTTTTGCATTCACTGCACAAAGTGAAAGCTGTCTCACTTTGAAACACACTTGTGCGGGGAGAAAAAAAGGTCAGCTTTTGAGTCATCAAGTCACCTGGGCCACATCCCATTTGTGCTCTAAGCAAACCAATCATGTGATCTCAGGATAAGACTTTGCCTGGAGGACTAATTTTTGAAGTTAAAATTTTAGGTTTGCTCAGATTGATAGACAGCACTTCAATTGAGGTCAATTGGAAGCTGCTTTACAACAACAACAAGATTGCATTTATAGAGCGCCATTCACGTCGGGAGGACGTCCCAAGGCGCTGGACAGTTGGGTCGGGTCCCGAGCAGGCGGGAAATGGTCAGGGTGAGGGAAGGGAGGGAGCGAGGAGGGGGTAGAGAGTCGAGAGGGGAGGTGAAGGCACGGTTGAAGAGATTAGCCTCTTTAGTGTTTCTAAGAACTGTGGAAAACCGGCTTCAAAATTAAGACTGGATTTTAAAAACTTCCCAACTTTTCTGTGCTATCTTAAAAGTGTTCCAACCAAGTGGGCTACACAGGCTAAAGCTGGGTGGAATTTTAGTGCCTTTTAGGTCTGATGTCCAACCAGGCTTTGTCTGGCTCGATACAAGACCAATTTGTTCCGCTGGGCGTTTCAGAGTTCTCAATTGATAGATCCTTCTTCTGTCCGCCAACAGAGTTATTTGAAGTCACTGAGCTCTCCTCTGTGTTTGTGCAAGTCAAGACAGACTTTGGACTGCGCCTGCAGTATGACAGAGAGGGGAGGCGCCTGTACATCGAAGTGGATGGGAGGTGGAAAGAAGACACCGTTGGGCTGTGTGGAACGTTCAATGGCAATATTCAGGACGATTTCCTGTGAGTGCCTGTCGTGCTTTGAGGCTAATTGGAATTTAATTTGAAGTTAGTGACTGATTGCGGCTTGGTTCACAATGAACGGCAATCACAATCGGAATTTTTCTGCACCTCAACTCCTGGGTCTCTTTCCAACAAGGATTAACTCAGAACCGTTATTGTGGGAGCGGACAGAGTTTTGTTTCACATCTGGGGCTGCAGCTTGGAGAGGCTGGCACCAGCGCTTTGCACGTGCCCATTACTCAGTTCCGTACTCTCGGAAATGACAGCTAAAGCACATTCCTTAAGGAACTCTTCAGAAATTGTTGCCTTAAAAGGTTAGCTATTACTGGCTGCAGTTATAACATCTACAGGCAGTCTAACTGAAAAATAATACTAATATAATCCATATATTCAATATAGCACCTTTCACTTCATGAGGACATCCAAAGCACTTCACAGGATTTTACTGTTATGTGTAGTGACTATGTAGTTTGCAAGGGAATGCAGCAACCAATTTTGCATGGAGCAATACCCCGCAATCAGCCATGAAGTGAATAATCGATTTTATGTGGAGGATTGTTGCCCAGGAGACCAGGGAAACCTGAGCCTGAGAGGAATGGGAATTACTTTAATTTCATTAGAAATTGACTTGTTTCGATCCAGTTTGTATCGAAATAGGTCAATAGTAATTAAACTGTTAAGTTCACTCTTTGACTGATTCTTTAGCTCTTTCAGGCTCCGGTGCAGTGCTGGGAGGCAATGAATTCTGAGGTGCTGTCCTTCGAATGAGACATTAAACCTAGGAGGTTAAAGATCCCCTGGCACTATCCGAAAAGTGAAGGGAGTTTCTCCCAGTGTCCTGGCTGACAATCCCCCAAAACTAAAATTGATCGCTTCATAGGAATGGGAGTAGGCTATTCAACCCCTCGAGTCTGTTCCGCCATTCTACAAGATCATGGCTGATCTGTACCTCAACCCCAATTACCCGCCCTTGCCCCAAATCCCTTGATACCCTTACCTAACAAATATTTATCCACCTCAGTCTTGAAAATTTGAATGGATCCAACATCCATGGTTTCTTTGTAGGACGTTACTGAATGCAAATTGGCAGCCACATTCACCTACAAATACACAGTCACTACATTTTACAGTAAATCTTGTGAAGTGCTTTGAGACATCTCAATGACATGTTATCTTAAATGAGTTACATATTATGCTGAGGTGCGGTTTGCTTCCTGCTTGTAGTGCACTGGGGCTCAGTGATATCAGCAGGAACCCCGAAGTGTTGGCGAGCAGCCACACAACAACAACCTGCACTATAGCGCACCCATCACATGGGGTAACATTTCAGAGTCAAGGTCAGCATACATTGGCGGGAGTTGGACGCCAATCAAGGGAGAAGCAATGTGTTCCCAACTATACCTACTACAACTGCCTCATTGGACCATGTTAGTTCTGCTGACCCCTTGCAATGCTCTTCCATTGATGTACCTTTCTTCTCTCCTGCTCATCCTCTTCCCAAGGTCGGCGGCAGGGATGGTTGAAAGCACACCTCAGCTCTTTGCCAATTCCTGGCGAATCTCCGGCGGCTGTAACCCCAGCACCAACATTCCCGAGGTGGACCCGTGTGACATGCACCAGCAAGCTGGTGAGTGATGGATAACACTTCTTCCCAGGCCAGAAGTGTGGCCATAAATTCCTCAACTCAACCTCAAATTGGCGGCCGATTCTTTTGAAGAGCGTTGGGGAAAAACAGATTCCAAATTAAGGCGCAATCGAAGAATTGACCACGATTTTGCACTGTGGCTAAGACCTGGAGGAATTTCAAGCCTGCTGTTCATGGGGACAAAGTGCCCCTTGGAGAGTTGACTTCACTATTCCTTTTACTTAACACAGTCCCTGTTCTGCAAAGCAGGCCAGGCAACGCGCAGTGTCAAATTGCACTGAGACAATGCTCAGTGCTGACCAACAAAAATCCAAGCTAAAGCCCTCTGCATGAACTTGATGTGTATTGTTTCAGTTTGCAGACGACTTGAAAACAGCAACTTGAGATGGGGAGAGGTGGGTGCACATAGTATTCTTAGACACCAAATTAAATCTTGGTGAAAAGCTGAACCATTAAACTCTCAGTCCCTGCAGACTGAGCAACAAGGAATCAAGCACAGGGTCACTGACCCACCTGTTTTCAAGGAGTGTTGCTTATGTGTGGATGTGGACAGAAGTTACAGGATATTTGTGGGTTATTAAGGTTTATATATAAGATGTAGCAACCCCTTGCTGGGGCAGATCCAAAATTTCTTATAAAATGGACTTGAATCAGTGTTTATGTAAGAGGCCTATTAAAGGGATGAAGAATGAGCAGGAGATTAGACTTGGTGGCTCATGGGGTCGGGGTGGGGGGTGGCAGGACTGGAGGGGAAACAACCGTGCAGATGGTGGCAGAACGGGGCGTTTTGGTGCCTTAACATTCCACGGTATTATAACCAGACATAGTCTACCAGATGTTTGGAAGATCAACGGGTCTCACGTGGCGCAGATATTGAGCGTTGGGGAGACCTCTTGACCAACAGGGTCACACGAGAGCAAACGGGAGATATTAGCCATTCACTGAGGTCCAGGAAAGGCATTTCAGATAAAGTGTGCACTTGTGGGACAGTTAAGTTGCAAGATGTTTTGAATTTTTAACTTCACTGCAGTTATTTTAATTTAATTAGTAGCTAATTTATCAAGACCTTACACTGTGACATTGTCTGTTTCCCTTGAAGTTATATGCCACAGTTTCACATTGTTTTGGTAAAAGGTGTTTTGCTAAACTATTGAAACAGGAGGTTAGTGTGTTCTGAGGGCCCTGTTCTATAGGGAAGTAATGAATCCATTTTTCATTGTCCATAGTGGAATGATTGAAGTGTCAATTTAAGATATTTAAGATATAATGTTAAGATATTCCCAAGGGGAATTTTTAGGAGGATTTGTTTTACAGAGAGTTGCTAGGATGTGTTTCTTTTGCAGCCTCCTACGCTACAGAGAAGTGCAGCATGATGACTGGGGAGCTGTTTGCCCCGTGCCATCAGTACCTGAGCCCAGAGCTGTACCACCATCAGTGTAAAGCTGACACCTGTAAATGTGGGGAGAGCTGTATGTGCTCCTCTCTGGCCCACTATGCTCGGCAGTGCAGGAAACACGGTGTCGTGCTGGATTTCAGACCGCACGTCTCAGAGTGTGGTGAGTTGCTTGACATTGAATGCACGTTCAGATGGGCAACAATAACTTAATACAAATGACAATTCTTGCTTTTCCTACAATGCCTATAATGCCAAAACATCACACAGCGCTTCACAGGATTTAGTGTAAAGTGTACTGACTGTGTATTTGGAGGGAAAGCGGAAGCCAATTTACAACAACTTGCTATTTATATAGTGCCCTTCACTCGGGGTACAATGTCCCACAAATAGCCAGGAGGTGAATGATCAATTTAGCGGGGGAATTGTTGGTCAGGGCACCGGGAGAAACTCCCTTCTCATTTTGAACAGCACGTGGAATCTTTAACATCCACCTAAATGGACAAATGGCACTTTATTAGCTTAATGTCTTATCTGAAGGACAGCACCTCTGACAATGCAACATTGCACTGGATTGTCAGTTTAGTCTATATGAGCTCAAAGTCTTATGTTACGCTTGACCCACAATCTTCTAAGCCAATGTCCATTACTCTCCAGGTTAATTCAGCAGCAGCTTTTCGCTAAAACATTAGAAAAACATAATTTAAAATACTATCAGTCATGAAAAATGCGATTTAAGCACAGTGGGTCTGATTTCACAGAACCTACTGATGTAAAAGTGAATTGGATCCCTGGTAATCTGCCAAAACGCATAGTTTCGTTACAGATTATATTGAAAGTCTGCCAATTATACGATTCAAAAGCAAGTACTTGACTAGCATGATATCCATTGAATCTCAGATGATTTACTCCATTTTAAATCTGTTGGAATGTGGTTAATGAGTCTTTTTTATCAGGAGGGTTTGATTTACTTTGTTTCAAAGAAATCTTAGGATGTAATAATACTAATCCTTGCATTTGATAATAGCGCCTTTCACATTGGTAGGACGTCTCAAAGCACTTGACAAGGATTCCAGCTTAAAGATTCCCTGGTACTGAACAACTCACAAATCAGTACTAACATTTTGAACATTGACAAGTTAGTATGCAAATCGGCTGTTGTGTTCGCCTACAATGGGAAAATATCCGAACGTTTTGATCTTAATGCGTAACATTAATCTCCGCAGCCCTTCAGTGTCCAGATACAATGGTGTACGGCACCTGCGTATCATTCTGCAATCGGAGGTGTCAGTCTCTCTCTGCACCGGAGACTTGTGCTGGGGATTGTGCTGAAGGATGCAGCTGCCCTGATGGTACATATCACAGCAGCAGAGCTCACGCTTGTGTGAAGAAGTAAGTGACAGTCTGGGTATCTGGGTTTGCTGATTGTGAACCTGGCCAGTAACCAGGAAGTGATTCATATCTACCCACAGGAACTGTGCTCTGACACAGTATAACAACAACAACCTGAATTTATAAGGCACCCCTCAGCGTTGTGTCCTAGAGTGCTTGAATGGGAAAATATCCAAATGTTTTGCAATAGGGGGTGGATTGCAGCGTTCCTGTGCCCCACTTCCGGTAACCACCATATCCTTCCTCCCACCCCTGGCCCCCACTTCTGCCTTGTGTTAATCCTAACATAAGATTGAGAAACAACAAGACAGTTATAATGTCACACTTCTATGAGTAACTAAGTTAGTATGCAAGGATATAAGTATGTAAGGATATAAGTATGTGATTAAGTAACCAATAACTAATGTATGTAAGTAACTAAATCACTAAGTCGATGAATAACTAATTAATTAAATAAGACACTAAGTTTGTGAATAAGCAACCAAGTCACTAAGAACTAAGTAAATCACTAATTATGTCAAGTAAGTAACTAAATAAGTCACTGATAATTAAGGAAGTCACGAAGTATGTAAATAACAAAGTAAGCAACTAAGACACTAAGTAAATTATCTAGTAGGTCACTAAGTCAGTAAAAGATCTCAACGAGAGTTATGGTTTTCTTAATGATTTCACTGAGATAAAAATCACCTAAACTGCAAAATTGTGAACATTGTAATGATATTATCTTGTTGTTACAGGAGCGAATGTCCTTGTTATTTTCTGGGTGCAGAATACTCCCCAGGAGAAGTGACAATTCAATCGTCAGGAATGTGGTGAGTTACTGCGGTTGTTTATCAGCAATTTACCACAGCTAATGCGTGTGTGGCTCTGCCATGGCTTGCACTGTCCCAATGTCCTCAATGGCTTGCATTATCCTAATAACCTTTCCAAAAAATGTTCTTGGTCAAAACGCATTCAAGAAAAGAAATGTCTAGAAAACACAAGTCATCAACCAATAGGTGGAGCAGACTGAATGATGCAGTGATGATAAATCTTTGCGATCTAATAATTAAAATAATAATGATCTTTACATTTGATTAATGTCAGGGGGATGTCTCAAAGTGCTTTTCAGAATTTACCTTGCACATGAAAACAAATTTATGCACAACTAAACATGGAGCAAATCAGGTCCCACAACTACCCATGAAGCAAATGAGCAATTTTATTTAGGTGACCTTGGCCACGACACCAAGAAAAACTCCCTTCACTTTTCAATCTTTAACGTCTCAACTGAAGGACGGCACCTCCGAACATGCAGATTTCCCCCACTACTGCACTGGAATGTCAGCTGCAACTGTGAGTTCAAAGTCTCAATGTGGGGCTTGAACCCATAGCCTTCTGACTCAGAGGCAAGAGTGCAAGTGACTGAGCCCAGACTGACAGGTCGCCAGTTGAGTGTTTGAAAGTCATGTTTTTATTGTTGTTTTCAGGATTTGTTCTGAAGGTGTCATGCAGTCTCAGAGTGCCAGCCTTGGTAAGTTAGAGATCATACAAGACAATAACAACAACAATAATAATCATTCATTTGACTCGGTGCTTTCATATCAGGAGGACATCTCAAAATGTTTCACAGGATATACTGTAAAGTGCAGTGACTGCACTTTCTGAGTGATGTCTTTGTGTAAAAGACTTGCCTGATGTCAGTATGATGTATGTCTGGTAAGAAGTAAAGAGCCTATCTTTTCTGTAAGCAATAAGAATTATTCATGATTTTACAGACATTCAGTGCCCTCCAGGACAAGTCTACTTTAACTGTAGTCACTCTCACAGTGAGACGGAGTTAAGCAGAGGACCAGAATGTAAAAAGACGTGCGAAAATCTGCTGTTAAACATCACCTGTTCCGAGCCTTCCCCGTGTTTGTCAGGATGTGTTTGTCCACCTGGGTAAGTGATAATACTATAAGGCACATTGAACAGTTACTGTAAAGCGCTCTGAGACGCCGTCTGGTGCGGAGGGCTCTATAACATCCAAGTTGTTGTTGTTGTTGTTGTATGTGATACTGTTGGTGTGCAGAGCATTGTTAGTGTGGCATAGTATAGGAGTCTGGTGTAGGCTTAGTGGTGTAGTATTGGAGTCAGGTGTAGTGTTAGAGTTTGTCAGTGCTCTGCTTTCTTGAGAGTTATTGCTTTTGTTGATACATTTGGACTGCAGTAAAACTGAAAATACCAACACACATCCTGTTTCAACCTATGTTGGCAATTGTAAATAATTGCTGCTGGGCTGACAATGGGATAAAAGTCCGGAGTTTCCTGTTGTTTTGGAACAGTATAAAATGCCGCCTACTTTATATTAATAATTGATGCTTCCATACTGTACTAGACTTCATTCACTGACGAGTTCTGATTGATTCTGTAATGTAAAGCAGTGCTGTAATGTAACACTGTGAAATCCAACAGATCACAGGCTGTGTCTGAATTGTTAAACACATTGCAAGAGACATTTCACTGAAGACAACAGGGTGTAATAAGAAATGTCACAAATTGAAGCGGTTGTGTAGAAATGGAAGTTCCAGCAATGATACTGTACTTCAGGACCAATTGGCAGAAGATGAGGTGATTGGCGACTGGACAATCAAGGCATTGTGAAGTACAGTACTAGCCTGTGCTGAAGTATTTCAGATCCCTGGCCACCTCATCTCAAAATAATGTGTTCATTTCAGGGTTGGGGAACAAGATGGGAGGGAAATGAGTTAGCATTTTTTGTTACATTGCCCAGGACCTTAGAATGGAAACAATCGTTTTGTGGACAAAATGTACAGTAAATTCACTTTACAGTACATTTTGTGAAGCACTTGGAGACGTCTTAAAGAAGCAATAAGGCGCTATTTCAAAGGCAAGGATTATTATTATTATTAATTTCTGTATGTGTGGATGGCAGATCTGATTTTCATTGAAGGCTCCCTTGGCAATTCATTAGATAAAGAATCTCTGATTAACGGTAGCAATCATTTAAGGTGGACGTTATGGATCCCATGGCACTATTCGAAAAGTAAACAGAGTTTCTCTCCTGGTGTCATGGTTGACAATTCCCCTGATAAAATTGTTTATTCACTTCTTGGCCGTTTGTGGGAACATTGCTGTGCGCAAATTGGTTGCCCCATTTGCCTACAAACTGCACTACAGTGAATCCTTTGAAGCACGTCGAGATGTCCTCCAGAAGTGAAAGTCACGATATCAACTGCAAGGATTATTAAAACTATACGAGAAGCCTGTTCTGACTATTCGGTCATTGGGTCTCTTAGCCTGGCTCAGTTGGGAGCGCTCTCACCTCTGAGTCAGTCATGGGTTTAAGCCCCACGTCGGGATTCTGAAATCGGAGTCTAGACTGACAATCTAGTGCAGTCATAAGGGTACTGTTGCAGTGTTGGACATGTCGCCCTTTGGATGAGAGGTTAAACCAAGGTCTTGTCTGCCTGTTGAGGTGGCAGCACTGTATTCCAATGTACGCTGGATAGACCAGCCCTGATCTACTACTGCCTGAAGCGTCACAATGTACCTGGCAGGTTCCAGTGAAAATCACAGTAAAATCCACAGTCTCGGACATAACACCATCCTGTATGATGCTCCAGACACAAAGTCAACCAAAATATTGACACATGCATAAGTGGGAAACGCAAATACAAGGTTGTCTGTAATCTGCCAAGTTGGATCCATTATTTTGCTGTGTTCATGAGCAAGGGGGGAGGGGGAGTAATAGGAGTTGCAGGTAGCTCACATCCCCTGTTTACCCAATGCATTCCTTGGAGAGGCAAAGAAGAATGAAAGTAGGTCAGCCTTCTGAATTGCTCTTGTAACACAAAAGCCAGTCTGTCTCGAACGGAGGGTGGGGGGGGGGGGGGGGGGAGTTGTGGGGGGAGAGAGCGAGAGATTGAGAGAGACAGCATACAGGCTCACTATGGAGAAGGCAAAGGCAATGGAGACCCCAAAATGTATCACTGTTAATATCCGGATACTAGATATAATAAGAGCTCATAGACATTTACAGCACAGAGGGAGGCCATTCGGCCCATTGTGCCTGTGTTGGATCTTTGAAAGAGCTCATCCTATTCTCCCTCTTTTCATAATTCTCCCTTTCAGATATTTATCTAACTCCCTCTTAAAAGCTAATAAGGAATGTACATCACCACAGTACCAGCTCAGGCATTACATGTCTTAACATCCCTCTCAAATATATATCTTTTAATTTATGAAATCTTTCCCTGCACTTTCCTATCTGACATTATAGTTTTATAGAATCTACAGCATTGAAACAGGCCATTAGGCTTGTCCGAGAGAAGGAAGTTTCTCCCAGTGTCCTGGCCAACAACTGCCCTCCAACCCCCCCCCCCCCCCCCCCAAAATGGTCATTCCTGTCATGTCTGTTTGTGGAACATTGTGGGTGCAATTCGGCTGCAGCATTTGCCTACAAAGGCATAGTCACTTCATTTCACAGTAAATCATGTGAAGCCCTTTGAGATGTCCTTCTGACATGAAAGGCTCTATGTCAAATGTAAACATTATTGTTATTATTGAAACTCTTTCATAAAAAGTACAGAAGTACACACAGGTATTCAATAAGTACAATATAATTTTTACCTTTTGCCTGCCCTACAACCCTGAAAATAGACTTATAATTTAAAATTATAATGCATATTGTAATAAATAAAACTAATCAAATAGCCATGCTTTCAGTTGACTCAAATAGAGTACAATATATAAAGCGGCTTTTATGGGAGGATGTCTCAAAGTGCTTCAGAGTTGGATGGACACCAGAGGTGAGGGTGGAAGCTAAGGAGGGTGGATGTCCAAAAGTGGAGTCAAAGAGAGAGATTTTGAGATGTGGCTAGAAGAGAGGTGAGGGTGCTACGCTGAGCCAGCCTGACTCCTGACAACATGATGAGCTGTCACTGTTGCAAGTGCAATCGATGATGTGAATTGAAGTGCACCGACCAACCGAGATACAAGGCAAATCTGTGGACCCTGCAGATTTGAGGGAAATTCTCGAAGCAGCAGCTTAATGTGTATCAGAAACAGAAAGGTGGATTCTTGCAGGTCAAGTGTGTTCCATCATCAGAATTTTAACCAACCTCTTGCTTCCAAATTTGTTACTTTCCATTATTCATAGATTTGTAGAAAGTTCACAGCATAGAAGTAAGTTCCTCCACCATTGAAGTCTGGGCTGTTGCTCGCTCCCCCAATGGAACTCTTTACTACAATTCCATTCCTCCTCTCGTTCCCTATCATGATTCTGCCTGTGCTAATTCGCCCACTGGAGCAATTCTGCTTTGACATTAAGATGCTTCTGTCCAGTGGTGAACACAACTTTCACATACAGAGGTTCTTGAAAATATCTTCCATTGTTTATTTTAATAATCCTCCATTTGTTATAGTGCCCTTCATATAGGGAAGATGTCTTAAAGCTTTACTTCAGTTTATATGATCTACTGAAGAGTGTTGCTTGCATCTCTCAATCACATTCTTTGTGAAATAGCTACCTAATCCTTTCAGTTTCCTGACACAATATTATCTCCAGCTCCCCTGGTCATCTGTTCTGATACTCATCATTCTCTCTGCGTAAAGGAATGAAATAGGAATTGGGTTCAGTTGGCAGCACCCTTTCCTGTGAGTCAGAAGGTTATGGGTTCATGCCCCACTTCAGGATTTTTAACTCAGATAGTCAGGGTTGCAGTGCTGGGGGAGAGGGTGTTGTCCTTCAGATAAGACTGAGGTCCTACCTGTCTGTTCAGGTGGACAATAAATATCTCATGGCACCACTGGACAATTAAGGGAGATTCTAATGGTGTCCTGGCCAACAGTCCCTGAAAAAAATTGGTCCTTTGTTTCATGGCTGTTTGTGGGATATTGCTGCATGCAAATTGGCTGCCTACAAATCAGTAATTCCTGTGAAGCATTTTGAGGTGAGTCAATGATGTGATAAGGTGCTAACTCAAATGCAAGGATTATTATTTTTATTTAATTCTGAACAGTTTGTTCATTTTCCAGATTTTTTTCACTTCCAGATTTGTTCACTACATTAAACATAATAGTAATAATAATCCTTCCATTTGATATAGTGCCTTGTCTCGTTATTGAGTCATCTCAAAGTGCTTCACAGAATATATTGTAAAGTGAATTGACTATATTTTATAGGTGAAATGCAGAAGCCAATTATGCATGTTTTTTTAAAATAAAACAATTATTACAAGGGAAAAAAAAGTCAAATCCTACAGCATCAAAGATTAATGCTTTAAAGCTCGAGTAAGCGATTACCTATGTACGTGAAACAGAGTCTCCAAATGTCTAAGCAAAAAGCCTTGAGAGATTTCACGGGGACAAAGACTGGTTGTCTGAACGCATTCCTTGAGATCATTCTCTGGACACAATTAGCAATGGAAATCTAGGCAGTAAATGAATTTACATGAATATCAATATGATCTACCTTCTTGTGAAGGTTTCCACAATCCATTCGGACACACTTCAGAGCCCAGTACGACTGATTTAATAGGACATCAGGTTGCACGAATAGACTGGAAGGATGCCAAAGTAACATGACCACTTTTGACCAGAAAAATTAATAAACACTATGCCAACTGTATCCATCTTGTCCACAGATTTGCTGGGATGGAGATGCCTTTGTTAATGAAAGGATAGTTTTCATGAACTAAATGCATTGCGGAGCATCAGATTATTTCTGACTGATCTGAACTCTATTTATTACAATTGATTTTTTTTATTCTTTTTTTTTCTCTCTCTCTCTGCGGGAGATTTGAGGTAGGTTTTGGATCGGGGTCAATAACCCAGAGCAGAAAATGGATTAAGAGACTTTGGTCCCGAATCAATGTGTCGCACTGATGGCCACTGTAACTGATCTCCTCGCTCTCTCGGTTTCATCAAAGTGCCAGACA